AATCTTTAAATTATTGCAAATGGTTACAAAATGTTACAAGTCCACTTATTTGTTGCCATGGTTACAAATATTGGCAGAAATGTGTTGAAACTCCTAACATATTTAATTATGTTTGTAGTAGAAATTTGAAATCAGTCTAAACAGTAGTTGTTACACTAGTTCTTGAATTATGCAAAATATCTTTATATATTTTCATAGTAAAAATTTGAAGTCAGTCTTAACAGTATTTGTTGAGTTATAAGAATTTTTTCAGACACCAAACACCAACAACCAAACACCAAAAGACTCTCACTGTACATCATTGTCTCTTTTTAGGAATAACTTCCAAAAGTAAAAAATATGCCTTTATTCCATGAATATGTTTTTGAAATAGAATTTCTTTGACTGCCCACTCTGTAAAGTTATGTTTCACACTACTAGTTATAATCACTTGGTGAAATCAATAAAATAATATATATAAAGATGTTTTATTTTCGGATATTTGTGTAAAAAGATGCGTAATAATACAGTATTTCCATTCAGTATTGTAATTATTATATTATATTATGAAGGAAAAAAATATAATCAGCATAATATACTATATTATATAGAGATTAATATAATATAATTAGAAATAAGTGAGATTTATTCTGTCTTTCTAAAATATTAATTGGTCATATTTATCAATCCAAACTGATGATTGCAGTCTATATAGAATTTTTTCCATTCTAAAAAATATTATTTTCTAGTATTTTCCAATCTAAGCAGAATATATCAAATTATATTGTATTATTTGGGTTCTAAAAAATATTATACGCGATTATTCTCGTCCAACTTGATGTACAATCCATCTGGTTAATTACTTAAACAAACAAAACAAAGAATGCACAGCATGGCAGTTAATAGGATCAACCGTTCTACTGGCCTTCTCATCTCTATTACTTACACATGTCACACTTATTTTATTTTGACTGTTCTATTTCTATTTGAAAAATATTTACAAATAAATATTTAGAAGAAAGAAATTTAACTTGATTTATTTAAATTAATGTTAACAATGGAGTAAAAATGTGAAAAAGTCATCAATTAAAAATCAAAAAACTTTCCAATGAGTTAATCGATTTAATCCAAATTTTAACACAATGTTAATCATAGAAAGAGGGATTCCATACAATGAAACAAATATGAAAAACATAATTTGCAAATTATTATTTTTTGTGGAAATTAGAACAATCGGCTCTAGATATTAATCCGTTAACTCCAACAAACGGATTAACTCTCACAAACGGATTAGTAATCAGTGAACAAAACTCATCTCGTAGAAATTGAAAAAAACTTAGGGATTAAAGTATTATTTATATTGCTCTGAAATCAATACATGAATGTGAATGATGAAAATCTGCATGATTTTGAAAGAATTGTTGGCAAGGGGAGGGGATCGTTACTCGTTAGGTACGGGCCTGTATAAAATGCGTAATGTTTTTAGCTTTTTAAACTTAATATGGCAGACAAACAATGGAGTGAAAATGTGAGGAAACCCATTGATTAAAAATTAACTTTCCGTTGAGTCAATCAATTTAATCCAAATTTTAACACAATGTTAATCATAACATAAGGGACATTATACAATCAAATAAATATGAAAAACTGAATTTTTGAATTATTTTTTTTGTGGAACTTAGAACTGTTGGCTGTAGGAAATTAATCCATTGCCTCTAACAAACGGATTAGTATCAGTGTTAACGAAACTCATATTAAAGAAATTGAATAATTGGGGATTAAAGTTTTACTTATCATATTACTCTGACATACATGTACTGCATGCCAATATGCTATTTACATCAGATTGTTCTACCATGCACCAATTTGTTCAAAGCATAATCATCGCTTTGTCAGATGAAACATTAAGAATAAATGTAAAATGTCCCCGCTTCTTTATTTTCATTATCAAACAACTATACATACCGAATATGTATATGGAAATGGAAAACAAAGAAAGGTTAATAAAACCAGCTTTAATTAAAAGAAATGGTCCAATTGTAGTAGAAACAAATGTATTACATCATGGACTAATCTGTTGTTTATATCCCAGGTTTATATCCCAGATATTACTGTATATGGATAACAGAAAACACATGAATTGTGAAATGTAAGAGAATACAAGTTTTAATTTTGTTTTAGCATGACTTAACACCACTTGTATCAGTTAATCTAATGCACGTTTCCTAATTTATTATCAGTGATTTGCCAGAGGAAATTGGAGCAATACATCCAATATATTACAGGCTCGTAATAAGTTTTAGCCCAGGGGATCAATTTTCAAAACAAACCAAGGGGTCACAATTGATAATTTTGGCCCAAAATCACTTAACAGTGCTCAGATTGGTAAAAAATGTAGGATTCTGAAAGAATTTTGGCAAGGGGGGGGGGGGAATTTACTTGAACCCAACGACCCCCCCCCCCTCCTTGGCCATGGACCAATACCAAATTCGTAATGTATTGATATATAGCAGTTTCGTGTCATAAATGTTTTGTGTTGTTTGTGAAGTGATTAAAGGTGTCTGTGTAAGAAAGGGCTTTAAGTGTTGTTTGTTGTAACTTAATTCAACAGAAAAACAATTGAGTTAAACTGTGAGAAAACCCAATGGTGTAAAAATGTGAGGAAACCCATTGATTAAAAATTAACTTTCTGTTAAATGGATCAATTAAATCCAAATTTTAACACAATGTTAATCATAACATAGGGGACATTATACAATCAAATAAATATGAAAAACTAAATTTGCAATTTATTTTTCAGTTGAAATTAGAACCAACTGCTGTAGAAATTAATCCATTAACTCTAACAAACAGATTATTTATCAGTGGGAACAAAACTCAAATCATGGAAATTGAATAATTAGGGATTAAAGTTTGACTTATTATATTGCTCTGGAATGTCAATACATGTATGTGAATGGTGAAAAACTACATGATGATTTTGAAAGTATTGTTGGCCACGGGGAGGGGGTCCTTGGCTAAGGGTCTGTATAAAATGCGTAATGCGTTTATTGAATATTGAGCAGTTCCATGTCATGACTGTTTTTCCGGTTGGCAAAGTGAATACAGATGGTTGTTTGTACCTGTGTAAGAGGGGATCGATTTAAATGTTATTTGCTATATTATTTTTTTTTTATTTATTCAGAACTACGCTTTTGTATAAGCGGCACACTTTCACAGGTGCGTCTTTACAATAAAACATAATATATCTAAAACTGAGTCTTAAGAATCTTAAAGATTGCACTAAAATTTTTGTGGTTAAAATAGGTTTCCTATGCGACTAAAATACTAAATAACTAATACATCTTAAGTAAAAACATTTTAGATACTGTGTCAAATGTTGAACCTAAATCTTGTCCCCCAAGTCTAAAACCCTCATCTTATGTGACAGAGAAACAATGGAATAAAAATGTGCGGAAAACCAATTAATTAAAACTTCAAAAATTAACTTTACAATGAATTAATTGATTGAATCAAAAATTTAACACAAATTATTATGTTAATCATAACATTAGGGACATTATACAATCAAATATATATGTAAAAACTTATTTTGCAAATTATTTTTGTGGAATTAAGAGCCATCAGCTGTAGAGATTAATCCATTAACCCTAACAAATGGATTAATTATCAGTATGAATGAAACTCATTTCATAGGAATTGAATAATTAGGGATTAACGGCTTGAAAATAACAGCATATAATCGGTTTTTGATTGCAAATGCCAACATATTATTTGCTCCTGACAGGAATATTATTCTGTATTATATGGTATTATTTTTTTTTTTTTTTTTTTTTTTTTATTGACAGTTTATATCAGTAACATGATACATAAGTCACTGTTGTTCCCTTTAAATAATACACGAATAATATTATTAAATCAAATATAATTCTTAAAAATACGTATTATATTTTTTTCCGCTATAATAAAAGAAATAACTGCCTATTATACAGGAAAAAATATTCTCTATGATTCTCTCTTAATGCAACTTATTTAGCAGTATATTAAACATTTTATTCTATATTATTTTTACTTTTTTACCAAGTGAATATTACAATACAACATAATGGTACTCAAGGATGGACCAAAAGATCTTAAGCTGTATATGGTCCTATCTTTTATAACCAAATTCAGAATACTACCAAGACTAAATTTAATGCGAACAAAAATACGTCAATTATGAAGCCTACAATAATTTCCTGAAACTAATTATATGTCCAGTGCAAACAAAATCAACAAAGTTGTCACTTATTGCTTTCCATTGAAGCTTATTATCATGTTGGATTATGGCCAAAAAATTCATGCATCTCTGTATGTCTGGTAGATTTATAGATTTCCTTTGGCAAGAAATTGCCACTTTGGCAAGAAATTGCCACTTTGGCAAGAAATTGCCACTTTGGCAAGAAATTGCCACTTGGGAAAAGTGCTACTGAAATAACCATCGTCACAGACTTCTCAATATTACTACTTTTATGGCAAATAGATGAAATTATATATGAAATTTTTAAGATTTTGAAAAATATTCCAGTAAAAAAAGTAGCTATTTTAAAAATTTGTCTGTAAAAAAACTTTCAAAAAATGAAAGTTTTACAAAAAAACTGTATGGTAATACAATTTATAACAGAAAAATGAAATTATGTATAAAAACAATTCACTGATAAGTCTGTTGTAGGTAGTGATATTAATGAACAGAATTTTCTTTTTTTAAATTAAAAGTACTGCAAGCATCAACCTAAATGGCACCATGAATTTAGGCAATATACGAGGGTTGTCCCATAAGTCTTGAAATTTTTATTCTAATTTAAAAAGATTTTAATGAATTTGGCTGAAAAATCGAAACACATCAAGATCAATTGATTATCTATGGTAAAAAAGGAAAAGGCTTATGGGAATGGTATCCAATTTGATTTAATAAAATATAAGATCTAATGATCCATCCATAGTAAGTAGATCTATATAATGTGAGTGTTTACGATCAAAAGACAAAAAAGATAAAGGGACAGACAGCAGTCGGAACAATAGATTTGCAAAAAATCAGGTATATAAAACACTTTTTTTAAAAAAATATCTTCTTAATGATAATATATCAAGACTTGACCATCACCATCAAAAATCATGGTATATGTTTTTCAGATATTATCAATATATTGCTTTTTTCAAAAAATGCGCTTAAAAAGAATTTTTGGGGGACATTGCCGAACATAATTTAGGTATTCTTTGTCTATAAAGTACATGTACAGTAAAACCTGTATATCTGAACACCTGGCTAATCCGAACACCTTCCAATTTGAACACTTTTTTTCGGTCCCATTTTTTCCTCCCATTGACTCCCATGTTAAAAAAACCTTGAAATCTGAACACCTCCTAATTTGAACAGTGAACAACCAGATTTGAAAAAGTGACCTGTCTAATCTGAACATTTTTATCAGAAATCAAATGTCTGGACATTTCAATTAAAGCCACATATTGAGTCAATGTTATAGTTGTTATTTATCTTTACATATATATAAATGCAATCAAAGAACCAATTGTCCTAATTAACTTATTTAGTCTCAGTGACATCCCTAATTTGTGGAAAAGAACAGGATGTTTTGGAAAGGTGTGAATACAGGAGTTAATTGGTTTATCCTATTAGAAAAGAACTGAATGTTTTATTTTTGGATTAAGAGAAAGGTGTGAATCAAGAAGATAATTGATTTATCATTATTGGAAATTACCTGGATGTTTTTGGTTTGGATTAAGAGAAAGGTGAGAGTCTGGGAGATAATTGGTTTATCCTTATTGTAAATTAACTGGATGTTTTTGATTTGGATTACGAACAGGTCTTAAATGTTTTATATCCCATGGGTCTGTTATGATAGCTAAGATTCAATCAGTAAATGTTTTATAATCACAAAGACAACACAGACGCCATTTGCAGACACTATTATATCACGAGAAGGAGAAAAAATCCAACTTTGTAATATTTGCATACATCTGACATCCTGAATGCCCTTGATATTTTGAAGGATTATACATCATCTCGAATGAACACTCATGAAAAATTATTTTTACTTGAAGAGGATATCTACTCAAATATTGCTAAAGTAAAGCAGTGCTATATAACCATAATATGGGATAAGCCATTTGATAAGCGTAGGATTTCGTACGAGACTATCATATACTTTTACAGTGTATTACAAAGTTTTTGCCAAAATATAAGAGTTATTTTTACTAAAATGATAAAATTGTTCAAAATATAAATAAAACATAGCATATAGGCTATAGGCCTATTGTAGAATTAACTCATCAACAACATGTTTTGTTTTCTGACTTAGTATTAAGTGTTCAATATAGTGCACTGAACAATGAAAATCCCCCCCCCCCGACCAACAAAATCCTCGAAATTTGAACACCTGCCAATTTGAACGCTTTTGGCTGGTCCCATGGGTGTTCGGATTAGACAGGTTTTACTGTAGGTCAATTTCCAAGTAAAAAGCTTTGCTTAATAAATAGCATTAGAAGCACCAAACAACATTTATGAGGTGAGTGTTTGCCATATTAAGAATTATTGAAGGGAGATGAACTTGATTACAAGGTGAGCAATATTTATTGAAATTTGATATTGAAACTGATGGTATAAATAATGGCTAAGTGACAGATTCTTTTTTTCAAAATTTTGAAGTAATTTAGAAATAGAGTTTGTACTTGGGTCTCTTTTAGTGAGTATACTATGATTTGCAATGCAGAACCAAAGATTCAAAAAGTACCATTATTCACTCACCTCAATTACACACACACAGTTACATTATCTATCTGTATAATTAAGAAAAGAGGCTCTAATGCATATACAGGGTGATCCAGAAGTAACGTCAAAGATGTTGTAATTTCAAAAGTATTCATCAGATCTTCATGAAATTTGGTATACATGTACCCACAACATTTCTGAGTTAACATCTCAAAGATTGGAATTCAATCATTTCATTGGTTGAAATTATGGTTGCTATAGTAACCTGATATCGCGTAACCCGGGGCAAATTACTTAACGTGTAATGCGTAATCTCAAAATATCAACAAGATCTGAAATTATTATATCCTCAACATTTTATTTCACAACAATATAAATCATACTATTGCACAGTTACTAATAATAGTTCATTCTACATAATTGCCACCATTTGCAACACATTTCTCATGTCTGGATACCCATTCCTTGAACACAGAATTAAATCCATTAGAACTCATTCCTTGTAGGGCTAGTACTACGGCATTTTTCAATTCCTCATAGGATTGAAAATTATTTCCACTAAGGTTTCTTTTTAGTTCCCCATACAAATAAAAGTCACTGGGGGCAAGATCAGGTGAATAAGGGGCATGTTCAAGTTGTTGAAATCCAAGTGTTTGGACTGTGTTGCTGGTCAGGATTGCAGTGTGCGTAGGGGCATTGTCCCAATGCAAGATAAACTGCTGCAGATGTCCGGGACGCTTTTTCCTCAGGGAACGTTGAAGATCACGCTTCAGAACCTGAAAAACAAATGTTTAATGGTTGTTAAACCAGTTGTTTCATTGATTGGATTTGGATTTGAATCATGGCCATGGAGTTATAATTATATTGACAGTGAACAACATTTAAATACTTTAATTTAAAAATAAAATTCACAGTATGATGTATTATTAGAACAAATGATATCTTACCTTTGCAATGTAAACGGCATTAATTCTCTGGCCAATGGGAACAAAATGGGTTAACACCATTCCTCTAATGTCAAAGAATGTCACAACCATTTGTTTCTTTTGTGGAATTCCTGGTACTATTTTAGGCTTGGTTGGTGTTGGGGAGTTGTCATGTTTCCACGATGAACTTTGTTGTGTGGTCTCTGGGATGTAGAATGATAGCAATGATTCGTCACTCGTAATGATCTTGTTAAGAAAGTCATCTCCATCTCTCCGATATTTTGCAAGAAAGTCCCTTGAAGCCTTAACATGCCGGTCTTTCTGCTCCTGTGTCAAGTCATGCGGCACCCATTTAGCAGACACCTTCTTTAACAGACAGTTCTTTGTCAGTATCCGTTGCACAGTCCCATAGCTCAGATCGTGTTTTTCAGCCAATTCTCTGATAGAAATTTGCCTATTGTCCATAACATCAGCTTCAATTGCTTTGTTGGTTTGATCATCGAATGACGACACTGGCCTGCCTCCTCGCTGCTTGTCTACCACTTCATCATATCCACTGGAATACTTGTTAAACCACCTGTAAATGTTTCTCTCAGCAATGGCAGCTTTACCATATGCCTTCTTTATCTGTCTTATAGTCTCTTTTACACCTTTCCCCAACTTTACACAGAACTTAATGTTTGTTCTTTGCTCTATTTTACTCTGACTTGGCGCCATCTTGAATTGGGTGGGTTAGTGTCCTTGGTCATGTTAGTATTTGTCATGGATGATAGAAGCAATTCAAAGAAATTGAAAGCTTTTTATGAATGCCTATTGTGACATCACAACTATTACATATTTGTTACCATGGCAACAAATATAAAAATCATAGAAAACAAACAATGAACATTTTCAAATGTTACTGACTTTTTAAATTAGAGAAATTCACAAAAACGTTATGGTTTCTCTTCAATTTGCCCCGGGTTACGCGATATCGGGTTACTATAGCAACCATAATTTCAACCAATGAAATGATTGAATTCCAATCTTTGAGATGGTAACTCAGAAATGTTGTGGGTACATGTATACCAAATTTCATGAAGATCTGATGAATACTTTTGAAATTACAATGTCTTTGACGTTACTTCTGGATCACCCTGTAGATCAGAATGATTAAACTCCATTTTATGATAAACTTTCCTTTGCTTATTGTATTTCAAGAGAAATATGGATCAAATTTCCCTCGAAAAACTAGCTATAAGCTAGTTTTTGTGATTCAAAAAGTACCATTATTCACTCACCTCAATTACACACACACAGTTACATTATCTATCTGTATAATTAAGAAAAGAGGCTCTAATGCATATAGATCAGAATGATTAAACTCCATTTTATGATAAACTTTCCTTTGCTTATTGTATTTCAAGAGAAATATGGATCAAATTTCCCTCGAAAAACTAGCTATAAGCAACCATGAAGAGATAAACAGACGTTGGAACGATCCCAATAAAGACTGGGAGAAGTTAATGGATGATTTCTATACTGATGAGACTGTAATACATCCACCACGTAACCCACCTGTTACTGGGAAAAAGGGTAAGACATCTTTTCCATTCTCTCACAGATATTCCACTACAATTTCTTCGTTTCCAGAAAATATATCAATGGGCCAACAAACCACAAAGTGCTTAAGCAATAATGTTTGTGAATGTGTCTTGTACATGTATATGCAATTACATTCAAGGCTTACAAAATAAGAGTTTTATTAGTAAGGATTATCTCTATATTCAAGGCTAAAATCTTCAGGTTAATACAATAATAGAAGTATTTACAGATATCTGTGAGTTTTTTAGAAAAAACTTCCCTAAAATGAAAATCCAGATGAGCCTTAGAGAAGCGCGAAGTCTCGGAGTGGACTCTTATTTGGGCATATTCAATATTGTTGGAACAATTGATGACAAAGAAGTGGACAGATTCATGTAAGTCATTTGAAAATTGATAAAAAACAACTCAGAATAATGGTCTAATACTGAATGTTTTTAAAGCTCATTTGAACTCAAATGATTCATAATACTTAGACATACAAGAAATATTAATGAGTTCATTAAATTAAATTGAGTGTTAAGGTTCCATGTATGTGTAAATGAGAAAACATTTCTTGAAAGAATCAACTCAGAAACTGGGCCAAAAATAATAATGTTTTTGGCTCACCCTATATATTCATATTCTAGCCACATATCAAAAGTATACAGTAATTTTAAAATTGTTATCATCCATGGAATTTTACTACAGAATAAATTTCAAATCCATATTACGTCACACATTCTTATTTCATATTTTTATGTGCTTTCTGTATTTTCAGAAAATATGAAATATGGTCAAAACAGACAGGATCCTGGAAATTTTCCTCATACATTTGGAACAGCATTAATGCTAAAGTTGACTATTAGTAAAGTACATGTATATTTGATACAATACTTACTATAAAGAAGAACATGTACTCTTCAAATTTACTAAAAACGTTGTTATAGTGATAATATGCTTCTAAAATAAACATTCACACAATGAGTCTTTTGTAAAAGTAACTGAAATAGAGGTGCAATTTGAAATGGCTGCATTAAGAACAATATCCAAAAATTAATTAACTGGGTAATATTTTGTGTTGATGTAATGCCATCAACTAAATGGTATATTAGATAATATTTAAAAATTATTCCTTGATTTAAAAAATTCTGAATGTACTGAATCACATAAAAATTGTGCTTCTTCAAGTAGAAATGGAATTTTCATTGGTGATTATTATATGCTTCTAAAAATAAACTATTGATATGATAATCCAACAATTTAATGTTTAGTGGTTAATGATTGCTTCAATCTGTAATGTCCTGCACATAAACCTTGAAGGACTACATTGCCATAAAAGTATATTCTATGGTGCTATCATGGACTTGAAGAAATAGATAGATCTATAATCTTTCCAGCTTTTATATTACATCAATTGTGAGATGACTAAACAACTGATCACTAAAATTTTGCTTCAAAAGATTGATATTTTTTCCCCTAGTGGATAAATAAGGAGCAAGACCATTATTGAGCCAATGGGAGATTTTAGCCATTTAGTCAAGTCCATGGAACTATGAACTTCCCATAGCTAGATGTAATTTGATTGATAAGTATCATATATCTACAGTATGTATTACATATCTGATAAATCAAATGAAAGGGGGTCATCACTCCATAACCAATAAAAAAATAGAGCAGTTAGATAGAAGAACTTTAACATGATTTGTATTTGAAGTTTCTAGCTCAATTTTGAAGGAAAATACATCAATTTTTGTAAAATTCAAAACAAATCTTTAAAAAAAAATTTTGGGCTCGCTTATTAGAAGAAATTTGGCGATCACACCCCCCTGACTGAAAGCTGGCTACGCCCATGGACAAATAGAAGGAAGAATGGCTTTTCTATGTCTCTCACAAAGTATGTTTGGTGGGATCATCAGCACATGTCCCTTGCATTAAAAGTTCTAAATTGAATGGATAAGTGATTTTCCAGGCACCTATCCACCCAAATGCATACACAGCCATCAGCTCAATATGGCGACAATATAGCACTTTTTTTGAGTGTGAGAAAAATTTTCAGAAGAGGAAACTATTAAAGAGAGAATCAGATCTAGCGAGCAGGCCAACAAAAATTGTTTCAATTTTAGAATATTTCTGGCTCATGTCATGCCTTTTCATGTCTATTTTCTAAAAATACTTAAAGTGCACACTTTATTTCAGGAAAACTCGAGATTTTAACAATAATGTATTACTTTTCTATAAGAATGGTTACCATTCTTATTATTTGGGAGAATTTAAACATTTTTCACCCATTTTTGCACTTTGAATCCCTTATAACTTCACCAATTTATAAAATATCATGAATCTTTTGGGAGATATTATATTTGAGATTGTAAGGAATAGATTGGTAGGTCAATTGTACATGTTGCTTGTAATTTTGTCACCCCCATAGATCTGATTCTGCCTTTAATATATAATACTGAACAAACCTGAGGAAAGCCAGCTATGACAAACAATGCGAAGATGGAGGAAAGCTCAGGACGTTCCTTGAGCAACTGGACAGCACTCCGGAGATGTTCTAGGAGTACATCACGCCATGTTGAAGCATTGAACATCTGCTGTAGAATACTCGTCACGGAGCATGCCCACTCCAGACCACTCCTACAATAAGAACAAGGCATTAACATGCAAAATGTCCTGCCATTTATTATAGACGCTTATTAATCATGGCTTTTAACAAATTACAAGTTCATTTTATATTGTATACATGGAGTTAACATTGACACACTTGCTTTGGAAAATGTACTTTTCAAATCGGGTCAAAATTACTATGCAATATGTCCAGTTTACTCCTACTGTATTTCCCAATAACTGGTATTGAACTTAGGTTTACTGTTACTTCATTACAAAATATTTGGTATCACACATGGATTAGTGGTTATTTGGTATGAGCATTTTCTATTCATCTCAACCCTAATGTGCATGTACTGCTCCATTGTGACGTTGACGAGTGTGCAATGTAATTAAATATTCAGACCATGTGTTACTACTAGCTCGGTCAAGGACTACATCACATTTCGTAAAGTGCATTGTTTCCCCGATGGCAGTGCAATATTCATGTTGTTTCTGTGATGATGAATACTGCAGTTTAAACACATATTTCATTTCAAAACAATTATCTCATGTACAAGCATATTTATAACATAAGATAAATCATACACCTAGATTTTGGTGGACAGATAAAAACAGGTGTGACATATTTCAGTCACTGAAGACAAACATGGAACAATGGGAGACATTCTTTGTTATTCATGTTGTTTAGTACTACACAAAAAATTCTTACCTCTCTAAACAGGTAGCACCAAATTTGAATAAACACTGAACTGTTCTTTTGCCTGGCTTGTCAGCATCCAGTAGATCTGAATCAGTTTCCATGGTAACTGCATCATCACACACCTGAAATAATTTTCTTCATTTGTTACTATAGAAACAGAAAAATTTTATAATTAAAGCATGTGTAATAATAATACATGTAGCTAGCAAAATGTTATAACACAAATGATATAACATTGAACAACTGGAACATTATTTAACAACAAAAACAAATAAATGTATTTATATCCAGTACAGTGGTTATTTAAAATTATGATGAGGAGCTAATTACAAAGAAAATAGTAAGTGTAATTTACTTATATCAAGTATATTCATAATTTAAGATGAAACAATTTTTAAGAGGAATGCAGTGATCTCGCCAGGATTTTTTCTCAGGTGGGTGCAAAATTCTCATTTTCACAATTCAGACCAAAATTGGTCAAAATATGCCCATTTTTCATGATTTTTCAAGTGGGTGAAAATGGTTTTTCAGGTGGGTGCAAGCCTATTTTCAAAATCTCAGGTGGGTGCTGCGCCCACTTGCTTCAATACTGGGGAATCACTAGAATGGGTGAATGCCTACTTTGCTATTGATGGAGGACCTTTGTAGAAGTTGTCCTATGAGGCCCATTGCCATATGCTGTGTGTTCACTTCATGGACATACTCTCTTCTGAAAACATACAATTACAGAAATATATGTAAGTAGAATTCTTCAGATTTTTTTTTTATTATTCATAAATTTATTTCAATGGCTGTGCCATACTGGCATTACTAGCCATGTCTTTATATATATTAAAATGACATATGACAATTCTTCAGATTAATAACACAGGAGAGGTAATCTCCTTGCAAAAATATACAGAAAAATAAGTGACAGCAAAGTAACAATCCTAATTTCATCAACTTAAATACGTTTTGAGAACCAACGGATTTTCCTGAAGTAAAGTAAAAAATATTGACTTCAAGACATAGTGACTCAGTCTTTTCTGTGGCTTTTAGCAGCCACAATACTATCACAATGATGACATCTATCTTATCGTTCTTACAAGAATATTATGTGTTAACCGTTTTAACAAATTCATATGAGATCACATTAGTGGTCCATATACACAATAAACTTGTCTGTGTTACAATACTGCATAAATCTGAGACATAAATATTGGATATTTATGAAACAGGCAAGACAAGGAATGATAAAAGCATTCACTATTCCCTGACAATACTGGACACACACACAATGTAATCTTTCAATATCAATATATTCAAGTAAATAATAATGATACTATACTAGAATAAACGAAAATTTGCATAACCCAGTCATCATTACAAATAACCAATGTGGATCTATATGGCCTGAGTTTTCATATTGTATTGTGATGACTTCAATATAAATGAAATGCCTCATGGTCTTTTGGTTTTGAATTGTGATCATGATTCAATAAGGTATAGAATTTCAAATGGATTAGTCTGTCTTAGTCAGAACACCTCTCTCTAGTGAACACCTGGTCTACCCAACCTGCAATAAATATTTGTAAGTGACATTATCATCATAAAATTAATGACCTTAATGACTTTACAAAATACGTTTCCATACGTTGTATAAAAAATAATCAAAAATGATTAAAATGGGACGGAGGGGGGAGGGGACGGAGGGGGGAGCAAAATGTCTCTACGACATGATGAGGGATGTTACTTCACTTTATATCCAAATTTTCCCATTTTCTCCTCAATTACAATGGGTTAGGAATTGATAACAAGTTGTATTCGTAGTTAGATTTATTTAGGATTATCAAAATCATGGAGGAGAGCGTTTATCTTTTTATGTGTATAATAGTTTTTATTTTTTGAAGACTTATCATAAAAATGTAGACATCGCATCATATTTCTATTTGGACATGCAAGTTTTCGAGTAAGCAGTTACTAAAGTTGTTTCATTATTAACCTCGCTACCAGATATCTAGTATATCTTCGACCATATGCATTTTGCAATTCACATTTAGTGCAATATATGTATTTATTATAATATTTGACCAAATGGGTGACACTCAGATATAAATGTATACTGTGTCTCATAAGACAGGTAAACATTTATAGATAAACAGTCTCCTGGAATATGTTGCCAACCTTAATTTGACCTCTCTAACTAAACCTAACAAGTACAACATGTTATCAATTCCTGACCCTTTGTAATTGAGGAGATAATGGGAAAATCTGGATATAAAGTATCAAGTAACATCTCATATCATATCTTATAGACATATTGCTCCCCCCTCCGTCCCCTCCCCCCTCCGTCCCCTCCCCCCTCCGTCCCCTCCCCCCTCCGTCCCATTTTAATTATTTTTGATTATTTTTTATACAACGTATGGAAACATATTTTGTAAAGTCATTAAGGTCATTAATTTTATGATGATAATGTCACTTACAAATATTTATTGCAGGTTGTGTAGACCATTGATGCTTGATTTAAAGCAAAAACATTGACTTTTGCACGTTGGTGGCGTTGCGCCTTTGTTAATAGATCTTATACCTAAGAAAAGAATCGGCTAAAAATAACTCGTAGAATACGTGACATATTTTACCATACCGTGCGCCTATTCGTTTAGCAATTATATCATAAATCTTTTCTTGAAAAAATAATTTTTGCAGATTTGTTCATTTTTCTACCAGAAATTGCTTGCTCCCCCTCCCCCTCCGTCCCATTTTCACGATCACCGGGTGTGAGATTACTCAAATCCATTGAATAATAGTGCAAACGTGTGATTTTAAGCAGTATGTGCAGAATGTCATATACACGTCATGCTTAATAATGACATGGTTTAGAAATTGATATTTGCATAGATACACCTGTCTGATTAAAAAAATCAATTTATCCGAGGTAATAAATATCACAAACTGGAATATTATAAATAAATACTTCTTACTTATGTAGACTCAGTAAAGTAACAATAGCAATATTGTTCACAGCCTTTTATGTTAACCCAATATCAATATTCTTAAATATATAATTATTATCAGTAAGTGGTACATTAATATTCGTAAAGAGCAAAAATTGGTATAAAATACATTTCTAACATCAGAAGGTAATTAAGAATATCATTGCTATTTGTTCAGCATATTATACGCTATTAACAGTAAGGATTAATAATATGAAAACATACTTTATAATCATGCTTCCAGGGGAATAACAGTCAGTACGACAACTCAGCTGAGAATGAAGGCATTAATATTGGTGATAGGCATCCTATGTCTACAAATAAAGAATGGATCTGGAGCATGTGATCTGGGATATGCGATCAATAGTTTTGCTACCGACTTATTCAAAGAGCTCTTGTTAAATGCTACGGATAACAATATCTTCTTTAGTCCATTTAGCATCTCAACAGCCTTGGCTATGACACAATTGGGAACTGACGGAAGAACATCACAACAAATGAAAAACACCTTGAAGGTTGACAACTGCCGAAACCACCATCAACTATTCAAACAACTGCTGAATGATATCAATGGGAGGAGGACAACATATGTTCTTAAATCTGCCAATAATATTTTCCCAAACACTATATTTAACATTGATCCAACATACTTGGTTGATGTAATGAGGTACTACCAAGCTCAGGTTAGAGCATATAATTACACTACCCAAGCAAGAGTTGCTGTGAAAGAAATTAATGAATGGATATCTAATAACACAGAAGGCAAACTGAAGGATGTTCTTTCTTCAGCTGATGTAAATGCATTCACTATGCTCCTACTTGTTAATGCAATATACTTCAAAGGGGACTGGAAATATACATTTGATACCAAGAACACAAAGTCAGCTACATTTTACTGTCCGAGTAGGAGAATTACTGTTGACATGATGATGCAAACTCTGAATGAGAGCCAGACACATGTGTATATTAAAGATGATGATCTTGAAGCAGATATTCTTGAATTACCCTACAAAGGAGATGAGGTCAGCATGGTCATAATCCTTCCAAAGCTTAAAAGTGACAGATTAAAAGCACTTGAAGATCTTAAAGCGAAATTAACTGCAACCAAACTAGCATCTATACAGGAGGAAATTGACAAGCATGACTTCACATTGGAAAATCGTGAAGTGAATCTGCGCTTTCCAAAATTGTTGATTAGCTGGAGATCTGCACTGGAAAAACACCTAAAGAATCTTGGGATGATAGATGTGTTCTCCTCTGAACCTGGTGTTGCTAATTTCTCAAGAATATGCCATGGAAATAAACCTTGCGATCTGTATATTAACAAAGTAATCCACCAGACTTTTGTTGAAGTCAATGAAGAAGGTATGTAACATTTTAATTTGCTGAAATATGTAAGCACAATGGCAAAATAATAAAAAGGTTAGACTTCAAAAGGTAAAACATAGGTAGAACAAGGTATACAAGGGCCGATCAAAAAGTTTCTTACCGTTGGCTCTAGATTTTATATTAAGAGGAGTTGGATGCTCAAACTTTTACATAAGACAGGGTAGTAAGTTTGCTTGAGACTGTCTGAGTTTCATTTAAATTGGTTCATTGGTAGTGACACAGAGTCAATACATATGTGCCTAAAATCATACTAACAAGTAGACAGTAAGAACGTACTGGCTGCCAGAAAACATAATGGCCATCCATAAGTTATTCAGTTGTAGACGGAGTGTGGATATATCACAACCATCATCATAATGACAGTATCCCAAAGAAGGGATATTTGAACTTACATATGGTATTGCAAAAGACAATAAACCAAATAGGCCAACCAATGACCCAATATTCAAAGGATCAGTTAAATGGAGTTTTACTTCCATTAAAGCTCATTGCATTTTCTATTTGCTTTACCATCAAGGTGAAATGCACTTTCAATACAAATTACACAGCTATATAATTTATGTTTCATTCTGTTTACTTTCTATTTCAACATGTTCAGTAGATCAATAAGTCATTAACTCTCAATCAAGGCTATGTTAATGCTCATGAAAATTGATTATTACCACATATCCACTAGAGATGTCACGGAACAAAAAAAAATCAGAACGGTTTGGTTCGGAACATTTTGCTTCGGAATGGAACAATTTCGGAATGGTTCGGAACAGAGTGACTGCGTGTATTAGATTAAAATAATCTGATCATCTAGGTCTATTTGGTAGCGAAAAGCTCTTCAAAAATCTTCAAAGAGAATGATGTTTTGTGGAGATTCAAGGGCCAGAAGTTGTGAAAGGGTAAAATGTTCTTAATTTTTGTTCCATGTTCCATTCCGAGGGCTTAAATCCGCGGATCGGAACAAAATCGGGTATCCGTGACACCTCTAATATCCACACATGTTTCAAATTTGGAATAGCACCTATTATATGGAGAGAAGCAATTATATACCCAACACCAAAAGGAAAGAAGAGTTCTACAGTAGGGTCCCATTTAACTATAGGGGTATAAGCCTCAAATGTTCAGTTTGTATAGCACTATTGCCTAAAAATTGCCCAACAAATGGCTAGTGTATTTTTGAAAAATATATATGTACAGGGTGACAAAAAAAATGGAACCCATAAATCATCAAATTTTTCAAAAAGTATTATACCTACATTCTTCATTTTTTCAGGGTAGAAACTAGACTAAATGCATGAAAAAATGACACCATAATTAAATTTCAATTTATTATTTTCAATTTCAATTTATTAAATATATATGCATACAACAATACAAAGATGATGAAGGGAGCGAGACACCACTGAAAGGTGTATGGTGCCCCCTATAACAATAAAAGATTCATGTGAGTTAGCAATGAGTATTGTAGCTTAGATATTAATCATGTCATGGACGACACAAAAAAGACTTATATTGTGAGAAAGTATATCAAGACAAAATCCTACAAAGAGACACAAACTGCCTATAGGAGAGATCATAGGACAAGAAGAGCCCCCTTGCAAGTCACATATCTTTAGGCTTGTACAAAAGTTTGATTCAGAAGGAACTGTAAAACCAACAAAGAAGAAAAGTGATGGTAAACCAACCTATTCGGAGAGACAGAGGTCTGTCAGAACTCAAGACAATATTGACAGAGTCAACAGTCAACACAGAACGTTACATCCCTACCATTCGAAAGTTTTGAAGAGCTCTGGATAGACGTCATGATTTGAGAAGGGACCAGCAATGGTTCCAACAAGATGGCGCCACACCCCACACTCCAAATGAGTCCATTCAATGGCTTCAGGCTCACTTTGGTTATCGATTAATCAGTCACCGTACCTGCCACATCTGGGCCCCCCACTCCCCTGATTTGAAGCCCCGGATTTTTATCTGTGGGGGTATCTCAAGGATAATGTATATACAGATAGATCACTGACCATTGATGACCTCAAACTCAACATTGGAAGACTAATTAGAGAGATAGACAGAGATGAATGCAGTCAGGTTATTGACAATTTTGCAAGAAGAATCCAGCTCTGCATCCAACATCTCGGTGCACATTTGGAGCACATTATCTAAATGTGCCTCATTTGGAGACTAATTGAGCTAGAATGCTTAAACTTTTACATCTTGTCATACGTTCAGTTGACTATACATGTGCCAAATAACTAAGCTCAATATAATTGACGAAGTTATTAAGATTGGGTTCCAGTTTTTTTTGTCACCCTGTATCATAGTACCCCAATAATGATTTGTCCACTCAACTCAAAAATGACAACTTTTGCACCAAAATTTGATGTTAGACTGAGTGGATTCTCATGTGGAATGGTAAAATACATACTCTGTGATTTATTTATGAATTCTCTTAACTTAATACACAATGGAAACAAGAGTAAATGAGTATGCTTATATAGAACTTATTGTGCACTTAAGTATTGACGACATCCATAATGAAAAAAGGACTTTTTTCTGAGACACTGCCATGGTAGTTCTTTTAACATCACGATATAGGACAATCTCTATGGAAGATACGCATACTTAAATTATTTGTGTTTCATTGTTTGGTTTAAAAAAGTGTTTACAGTAAAACCTGTGTTTATTGAAACATTTTTGCCAAAAAAGTTCAGTGCTGGTAGGTGTTCATTACAGAGAGGATTTACTGTGTTTTGTCTGATTGTATTGTATTGTATCTTGATTACCGCCATACTTGGCGAGCAATACCTCATTGGTATATTCCATATTTTACGTATTTTACACTCAAAAGACAGAGCCAGAAACCCCTCCTTGGAGGAGTCCTGTCTTCTTTTTTGAGCACGGGTACATAGACATACAAGTACACACCACAGCCTTTTATACGAGTCGTGAACCACTCAGTCAAACACCCAGAATTACATAACATACAAACAAACTTGTCTGAACAGGGAATCGAACCCAGGGCCAAGAGATAGTGGTAACCTTGACTCTGCCACTGAGCCATAGCGGGGACTGATATAATTAGCTTTGTTATTTTAATTTGGATTACCATGGATAAAGTAAGTTTAAATATTTACAGGGACTGAAGCAGCAGGTGTCACAATCACAGGCATGCCAATAATAATTGGAGGTGGGCCAGTAGACTTCAGAGTTGACAGACCATTCCTATTTTTGATCCGCCACAAGAAATCAAAAGCTATCTTATTCATGGGGTGCATTACCAAAGCAAGTAAGCTCAATCTTATCTATCAGTTAATACTTAAGGGACACTTAGGCAAAAGGATGTCAAAGGACGATTCTCGGTTTGGAGAACAGTCTCCTGGTCTAATAATTTTTTAATGAAAAATATAGAAATATTACCCAAATTAAACTATAAATATTCAAAAGAGGACATTTAAATCTACAAGATGTAAAATTTACAAATTGGTCTGAAGCAGGGATAACGTTCAATTTGACCGATTCAATAAAATACAAGTCTCGATTTGGGGAAAAAAGTTCATCAGTGTACTGTGCTAATATTTTTTCGCGAAAAATCTAGAAATATTACCCAAAATAAATTATGACTGTTCAAAAGTAGACATTCAAATCTATATTATGTAAAAAAATCAAATTTGTCCGAAGCAGGGATAATGCTCATTTAGATTGATGAACTTCGTTCTCCAAACCGAGAATCGTCCTTTGAAATAAATCTGTCATATGGTATTTGGGATATCAAAGATTATATTTTTTACAAAAATGGTCACCATTTTGAATCAAGTGGCCATATTGAAAGTTCCTCCTCAAGTAGAGGTCTAATGCCGATATCTTTTTCTAAAAGTAAGAGTAATCAGCTTTACTTCAAAATTTTAAGTTTCAAGTAAAATTCCTTGTACAAATCACTAACAAATAGCTAACAATGCAAGTTAAATCAAATTGTTTTGTTGTTTTTATCCCATAGACGGCAGCATGCATCAATGACTGCATACATGATCATAATATGTTACCCTCAATTCAAAATGTCAGTCTCAATTTTCATTAAAAACTGAGAAATCCTGTGGAATTACTGGAGAATTGACCTTTACCTTAACAGAATCCATGATTTCAACTTACAGAAAACTGAGATGAGTGATTAAGCATAAGCATGCGTATACAACAGAATAATTTATTCAAGAAAATCTACCTGAAAGCAGAGGCTGACAATCATGCTTTACAAAAGACATTAATCTTCCATCCTACACATGTAATAGCAAAATCATAAATTATATTTTTCAGCTTAAAAGTATGAGTTTTTTCATTATTATTTACATAGCTGCTGCCAAAAAGGTTACATCTTGTATGACTAATAAGCCATGCATGAAGATGTATGATGGCTCTCCAGCAAAACATTGTTGTGGATGCAAGTTCCAGTTCAAAGATCCTACAAAAAAGGTTAGTGAAAAAAAAAAAAAATTACAAGTAAAAAAAAAAAAAAAGGTTAGTGTAAAAACGAATGTAAATGTAATGTATACCTTTGGATAGCTAAAACTTGATGTCAGGAATTTAATGTCAATGTGGCATTCTGACTTCTATATTCATGTTAACAATTGAGTAACTTCAACTGTAATTTAGATATTTGCCAAAAATGATATTCTAACCCATATATTTGCCATGTTAATAAACTAAATAGATGTAGCTGAATTCCAGTGGATTTATATGGTGAAACAAAAACAAATACAATGTAAGAGTATAAGTAATTACAGGGGTGAATCTTGAAACCATCAAGGGGGGGGGGCATATTTCAAGTCTGAAGAAAAGGAAAAAGATTGGCCTAAATTTTGAAATTTGTGTTCCACCTTTTATTATGAACATGTATTGATTGTAAACAAATTTTGTATAAACATAAAGAATGTTATATTTGATGTGCAAAACATTTCAGAATGGTCAACCCCAAGACCCAAAAGTGGTACTAAGAAAGCTAAAGAAGAACTGCAATGGAGAAGACTGCAGGGAATCTTGCTTGACAGAGAAATGCTTGAAGAAATACAAAGTGAAGAATACATGTAAAGTTAAGAAAAGAAGTAAATCAAGACAACCTTAATATGAAGAAATGAAAATGATATGAAACAATGTCTGCAAGAAGAAAATGCAGGCAATTCATCTCTCTTAATGTACTTGCAAAATAACTAACTAACTGGTTGACAAAATATCAGTAACATTCTGTTCAAATCTTAATAAATAGTTTTTTTTGTTGCATTGTATTTCCAAACAACAGAATTATGGATTGATGTCATTTCTAAAGAATCTTCAAAATATGTCAAAATGATACATTCTCACTTGTACTGAAATTAAACATGTTTTGTTAAAATTTATCTTTTATCTATGGACCAACAGAGCTGTTTTCTAAATCCCCCAAACTTTGTCAATGGTATTTGAATTATTGGCTCGAAAGAGACATACTAGGCATGACCGGTGGTAAATGCACAATTCTAAGGGCTCCGTCACTATGTTCGGTGTGAAAGCTGTAGGGATCGATTCTTTCACGTTATGTTAATTCAGAAAAAGATTGTCATACGGAAAGATATTTTCGCTGTTTGTAAGGAAAAGATGATATGCAGTTTGTGCAAAGTTGTTCTGATACATTAGAAAGGAAAAGAAATTTGCTAGATGAAGTGTCAGTTTGGGTTGTCTGGGTTTTTTCTCAGTAAACGCTATTAAATTGCAATAAAAATTTATCAAAGCCACAATTCTAGGATAACATATCTCCTTACCTGGATAAAACAAAAAAAAATAGAAATTCCCAAAGCTGCAATCATGTGACTTCTAGTCAAGCCAAACACCAACTGACAAACACCATCAACAAAAAAAATTGGAGACTATGTCACCACTTGTGGAAGTGACATAATAAACTGGACAACTTTGTGATTTTATCATTGATCCGTACGTAATTTAAATGACATTGAAAAGGCCCTCTGCATATATCAGATACATGGTTGCTGTACCATAAATAGACCTTTATCTAAACGCTTAGAAATATTTTTGTACTACACACAACCACATTATTAACACTACTCCCATCTATCTTTCCATTTATACAACTCTTTCTTACTGTGATCAAAATGGCAAAGCTTACCTGGCAATGGTGAAGAGCATCCTGAGAAACTTCTCTGTAGTGAAACCATAACTGATGCTGTCATCATCATTTGTACACTAAAAAACAAAATGTACGGAATCTTTATTTAAAGCAAGTTGAATCAGCTTTGGGTCTGCTGTCACAATTATAGTATAGACCTTAGACTTACTTGATATTTTTCCGTATAACAATCTTTTTCTGAATTAACATAACGTGAAAGAACCAAACCCTACAGCTTTCACACCGAACATAGTGACGGGGCCTTTAGATATAAACTTGCACGTTTAATTAAATGTGTTGCCTGAGCATACTTTTGTCCCACTTCAATACCTATTCAACTTCCCCTTAATTAAAGCCTGCATACTTCTTATCTTCTTCCTATTTGCTAAACATGATTTTTCAATAATGGATATGTACCTGGTGATCCGGTGGTATCATAGCACCTAGCAATCCCATGATTCTCTCCTGGGAGTTAGCGGCAAATGCTGTCTCATGTTCCAGCTGACGCAACTCTAAATTAGAAAGTCCAGCATTCTTCTCAGAATCTAAAAAAAATTTCAGAAAATTATTAGATTAAGACAAAATAATGAAACCTTGGGTCCAGATAATCATCCAAGAGTATGTCCGGAGACATGTGTTCACTAAAGAGAGGTGTTCACTAAGACAGGTTTTTACTGTACATAGCAAAATATTATTGTTTGGTATTTCTAATTGAATAGTTAAATTCATGACTTTCATTTTAAACACTTATTAAACTAACCTTCATCTTCTGTCTTGTTGACCTTCCTGAGGCACTGAGAGACAAAATCAATGCACTGTGTATGTATAGTACTGGCTGCCTGCATGTATGATATCTCCTCCCCATCCCCTTCACTAGTGTTATGCGTGTAGAGCATGTTCGACATGGAGAGAGATAGAGACGTGAACAACATCCAAACATGTTGATGCACATACGCCTGCAGGAGTGACTCGCTCTTGTTCTGACTCTTAACTAAAATACACACAGTTAGGGAGTTGTAAGAACAGAAGAAGGTGGTGAATATATATATTTGTGGTATAAATATAATTAGTTCCTTTTCACAATAGATGAAACATAAGCATAGTACTTTCGTTTGATTACATCTTGAAAAACTGACTTGTCCTATTTTTATAGTAGCAATGTTATACGTAGAGTTTATCACAATCTTGATGAACCCATAGGACAAAGCTCATAATTCTAATGAATTAGGCGATGGGCAAAATTATCATATAGCATATTCAAGCAAAAGAAATGGTGAAAAATATGTACTTACACTTGACTAGAGGATATATAGTAACATTATGTTCTTTGGTATGTCTACAATACAAGAAAATAACTAATGTTAAAACTAAACTGCAACACTTTTACTGTTATACAACTATCATACCTAATGGAGGCAGGGGAGGGTTTTCCCTATTCCTTTTTCTTGTGGTAATCTCTTTTTCAACTCGCCCGAGCCATAGATTTTTGGTTTGAAAACCAAGTAAGTGGAAGAATTTATTTTTGAGATATGATGGTCCAAACTCGAGAAGTCAATTGAAATATAAACAGATTATTTGCACCAAGACAGAGTATTAAACACTGACTTACCCTGCAGGGAACAGTCCTGCCCTATGACAGCCCAGACAGAGGTCAAAATCTTCACACAAGTTACAGTGCACCCTTGTCCCAGCTATGAAAGCTTGGCATTCATCACATTTGTGTCTAAAATAATAATAAAAAAGTTATGTCTATTCTTAATACATTATGTTTGTACATTGCTTTATTCATAAAGAGTTAAAGTATTACTTTCAAAATATGAGTCATTATAATGCAATATGTCACCATTTGTGTCTCCTGCCATTTGTTACAGATGCTAAATGCCGACTAGGGAATGTCAACCACTGAATGTCAAATGCCAAATTTCAACTGCCAAACACCATCCACAAACAGTTGGAGAGAATATATATATAACAATATTTCACCACTTGTGGTGACGACATAATTTCTACACAAATTCTCAATGAGAGGGTAAAAATAAAATACACACAAATTTTTCTTATTCTTGCTTAAATGCTATGGAAGTGATATACAGTACTTCCTGCAATAAAGAAAGAGTACAATGTATCCTTACTTCAGGTGTACAATATCATGTTCCTCAGTGTGGTCATTGGTGGGTTTCACTCCCCCAGTGTAGCAGGCAGCACAGAGGTCCATATCAACACACTGCAGACACCTGAACCTGCTACCAGGCAGAGTAGAGTTACAGCCATCACAGTTGATTTCAACATCAAGCAGGTCAGAGTAAAGGGCAACAAACATCTGAATCTCCTGCAATTCAAGATTCAATTCATTTATTAAACTGCACTTTCATTGAGTATTATGGCACAACTTACAATATTCTTTCAAAATCATGCAGTTTTTCACCATTTTGAGCACTTCTCAAGTGATTTTAGCCATATTTAGGCCAAAATTGTCAAATGTGAACCCCCCCTGGAAATTTTTTGAAAACTGAACCCCCACTTGGCAAATCCTGGCTACGGGGCTGATAGTATGTTTATACAATTACACAATTACAAGTGTTTCCCAGCATCATATTAAAACATCCATTATTTTAATCAATACAAAACACAAAATAATTTTTCATAATGAATCACTGCTTTAAACGGCCATGATAACTTATTTACAAGGAGAGCTTTACATAAGTTTGTGTATTGTCATAGATATTGTACCTTGGCATTTATTCTGTCATTGTCATTTTCTGGCCTGAGTGAGTACCATCCTAGGAACGAGTCATCTTTTACTTCTGACAGCCATTTCTTGTATTGTTGGTATTCCTTGATCTCGTCAGACTCTTCCAGGTCGCTCAGGGCCTTGTCACGCATAGCGACACTCCCTGTAAATATATAACACCATGTCACACAAAACAACACTATAACACCTTATCATGCATAGCAACACTCCCTGTAAACATATAACACCTTATCATGCATAGCAACACTCCCCACTCCCTGTAAACATATAACACCTCATATTGCATAGCAACACTCCCTGTAAACATATAACACCTTGCCATGCATAGCAACACTCCCCGTAAACATATAGCACCGTGTCATGCATAGCAACACTCCATATAAACATATAACACCTTGTCATGCATAGTAACATCTGTAAACATAGAACACCTTGCCAGTCATGGCAACACTTCTTGTAAATATACAACACTTTGTTATGCATAAAAACATATGAACATTTCTTGAACATTTCTTGCCCTCTTTTTAACACTCAAAGACTCAATTTTCACAGAGAACTAGGGGGACTGCCATCCTTTAATTTAAACTCTTTTAATAATAGAAAACAGGAAGACAGGGTAGACTTTCTACTTTTTGCAGATCCTTCTCTTGACACATTTACAAATAAAAAGGCTATTGAAGTAACAGCCGAATTTTTACACTCTATTGTCAAGGAAGTTAAATATTCCAATATTCATTAATTTATACATATATCTCTGACCTGTCTTCACGTTTTCAAGATTATTTTCATGTTCATAAATATGTTCTATATCTATCATTTTTACATTGTGACCTATTTTAACTTATATTGTAACTACTTCAACAGGGCCAATAATGCTTCGGCGTAGGCCCTGTATCTGTTTGTATGATGTATTATGAAATAAAGGAAATATAAAAATTTAAAAAAAAAAAAATTCTTGAACTGTTAATTGGATCGAAATTGGGTTGAAAATTGAACATCATATAATCTGACTCACCTTTTGCTATAGTTATGAGAAGCTCTGGAAGTTTGATCTCCACAATGAATGGTAAGTCATGGGGCTGCCAGTTGATGTCCAGTAGATGTAGCAAACAAGTCTGGATATAGTCATAGGCAGATTGTACATTCACAGGTCTACAAATATAACACATAGAAAGTAGTCATAGGCAGATTGTACATTCACAGGTCTACAAATATAACACATAGAAAGTACAGTCATAGGCAGATTGTACATTCACAGGTCTACAAATATAACACATAGAAAGTAGTCATAGGCAGATTGTACATTCACAGGTCTACAAATATAACACATAGAAAGTAGTCAAAGGCAGATTGTACATTCACAGGTCTACCAATATAACACATAGACAGTACAGTCATAGGCAGCTTGTATATTTACAGGTCTACAAAATAACACATAGAAAGTACAGTCATAGGCAGCATGTACATTCACAGGTCTACCAATATAGCACATAGACAATACAGTTATAGGCATCTTGTACATTCATGGGTCAAAAATATAGCACATAGAAAGTACAGTCATTAAGGCAGCTTGTGCATTTGCAGGTCTAAAATTTAGCATGAGTAAAGTCATAGGCAGCTTGTAAATTCTCAAGTCCACAAATATTTCACATAGAAAGTAGTCATAGGCAGCTTGTACATTCACAGGTCGAGAAATGTAACACATAGAAAGTAGTCATAGGTAGCTTATACATTCAAAGGTCTACAAATATAGCACATATAGAAACTAAAGTCACCTAGGCACCTTGTACATTCACAAGTCTACAGATATAGCAAATATACAGTAAATATAATGTAGTCAAATGTAGTAAAAATTCAGAATGATGGCAACTCATCCTTGTCCAAATAAATTGCACTAAGTGAACCTTCTTCATAAATTTATGGTGCATAAACTCTGTCCGCTTTGACAAGAAATAAAAGAGTGCTACTACAATTAGCTGTTACATTAATGACACGGTTTCAAGTAAATCATGTCCTGTCTGTCATAATATAACCCTTCCCCACCATACAAGCTCCATTTCAACAAACCAGGACCATAACACCAAGGGACATAATTCAATTAGCAATGATGATATTTATCAACCCACTCTATGATATCCAATACAATCCTCTTAGCATGATTAGCAATTAATCATTGTGACATCTACTAACAATTTCACAAATATAAAATTGTGATCACAATATGATGCTTTTATGTTTTCACAAATAATATTTCACTTTTTTCATACAAGTTCTTAAAAGTTTGTGTTTTTCATCTCTGGTGTGACATTCAAAACATTCCACTCATCTTCACATATTTCTAATTTGCTTTGGTCAAAAATTCTCTGTGTATATTTCAGTCTTTCGACAGGGTACATAAAAAACAGATTTTCGTCAGGGTGACCATTTTGAAATTTTCAACATGGTCAGCATCTGGTTACTCATAAACAAGAAACATTGCTGAATAATGATTTATCCAAATGCCTTGAAGATAATTACAAACTAATTAGGAATATACAGAAAATTAATATCATGTCTGTAGCCCATTAGCACTTAAGCAAATTAAATGAAAAAAGTAATGTGATATCCCCTATAGATATCAACTTTCACATATATTATGGCGCAATGACATTCAATGGTCATAAACTACAGAACAATTGATTGTTAGAATACTGAAATAGCAAAGATCAGCTTTTGAGGGAAAATACTCAACTGTATCAGCAAAAACTTTCTTCGTGATCCTTAAGATGTTTCTCAAGAAATTCATCCATGTGGTGTTATTATTTCATACGACACCATTGTATCTGGCTAAAAACTGGGATGAAAGAAGTTTAGAAACAACTGCTAAAGATGATATTACTGAAGAAAATATGAGCATATCTACAACCGCAAGCAATGACAAAGTTACAAGTGTCAACACAACAATTGGTGACTTGCAAAACAAAAAAATGTACACAACATCTCAAAACAGTTATAAAGATATCTTCTTCACTACAACTATTGAGGATAGCATTCACACAATCACCGATGTATCAACAGAGGAACCAGATATCAGTGTCACCATATGTGATACAGACATTGAATCCTTCCCGGCAAAGGACTGTTCAAAACCAGAGGTAAACCCATTTCGATTTTCCAACTTTAGTTGTAAAAATAAGTGTGGGTTACTCAATGAGGAATGTTCTTGCATGGCTTCATGTTACATTAACAATGAATGTTGCCTGGATCTTCAGCATTACTGTCCCGATATTGCATCATTCATCAATAGCCACAAACCAAGAATGAAAGGTCTCCGAAATAGTGCTTGTTACAGTGACATGATAGGATATGAGTATAAGATGGTACCAAGGTGTGACGGAAATGACCAAGATGCAAAACATTGTCAACAAAGTATGAACACTGATGACTTGTTATATATGATCCCTGTGCAACATGCTGCAACTGGCTTGAATTTTCTTAACATCTACTGCGCAAGATGCCACAGATTCCTCGATGGACTGGAGGAATGGGACCATGAAGTAAGTTGCAACAAGAAACTCGAGACAAGATTGGAGAATCCAAATGACGTTGCAGCTGCCATCTTAAGAGAAGATTGCTTCCTTGAATTCAAAGACAAGGCCAATAACTCAATTCCATGTGGAAATAGCCTCATGTCTCAATGCCCAAACAACTGCACCAATGAAAGCATCAAAAACAAGTGTTTAAACGAGAGAAGCAACACTGTTTCTTTTAAAACACCAAACAAGACATACTATTATTTCAATGAGTTCTGTGCTATGTGTAATGGAGTTGGTGTATCAAACACAACATGTGGATTTACAGGGGCAAGAACAGGACAAGTTATTGTGAAGCCACCCAAGCCTCTGGAAATGTTCTCATTTTCTCTTCTCTTTGATATCACAAAAGACTACACATCTATTGCTATAAGCACAGACAAAGACCTCAGAGATTTTCAGTGTGATTCAACTGGAAACTGTTCACCCACTTGCGACCAAGGCTACAAATATGTGAACAATAACTGTTTGCTGATGTATAAAGATGAAGACGTTCGAACAGAATTCTCATATCAACTTACTGGAAAATATCCTCGAATATTCTCAGTCGATAAGTGCATACATGAAAAATTCACCCCTCCTTTGCCTAGTACTAATGGTCTCATATCAATAGAAATTTGCTTTGGGGTCCACAATTCATATAAAACTGCCTTTCCATCAAAACCATTGAATGAATCAATAATGACATTTGAAGCCACAGCAACTCCAGGACAAGCCAACAAAATCCTCATTTACAAGTTTGTACAACGATACTGGTATCTTTATCCAAATTCCTCAGACATTGGGTTCCATAATGAAACATTCAAAGAAGCTTTAGACACGTTCAAGCGAATAGCTGATCCTTCAAGTATATATGTTGATAGCTTTATCACAAACGTTCGATGGGTCATCACATCTTTGTGTGTCAAATCTTTCAATTACAAATCATGCTATTATTGGCAGAACTCAACATCTAATCTTTTAGATCAAGTTACTGACAAAGTATCAGCTACATACAAAGACACCAATATTATGACAACTTCTGAGTCTAAAGGAACACCAATTAAACAACCTGGTAAATCAGATCTCTTCAAATTGGGCATTTTTACAATTGTTTGCCTCAGCCTATCAATATGTTGTTTAATTGTAAGATTAGTCATGCAGTTTCATGTTGAATGGTTGCAAACATTCTCTGGAAAACTACAATTCAGTCTCTCCCTTTCTCTACTCATGGCATATGTTTCATATATGGTTGGCCCATTGGTGTCTCATAACGCAACAATGTGTAAATGTTTGGCAATCCTTATTCATTACTTCTATCTCAGCTCTTTGTTTTGGATGAACATCATAAGTATTGACATGTACAAAACATTCAGGCCAAGTTCAATCATGATTCGAAGTGGGTCCTCAAAGAAATTGAAAACCCTCGTAATGTACTCACTTTACGCATGGGGGTTTCCTGTTATTATAGTCACTACATCCCTTGTCTTAGACACAACAAGCATTGATCAAAATTTCAAACCAATGTATGGTATTGGAATATGCCAACTGACAAATGTGAATCCAAGGATAATATTTTTCATGACTCCTATTGGGTGTATCATCTTGATCAATAGCATCCTATTTGGTATTGTCATCTATTCTCTCCGTCATACTCTTAATGAGACAGCCCATGTAAAAGCAAAGCAAGACCACCAGCTCTCTGTCTACATCAAATTGTGTGTGCTAATGGGAATTACATGGCTGCTAGGCTTCATTGGAATGTTTATCAATCTGAATATCAATTGGTATTTCTTTACATTTTTCAATGCCTCTCAAGGGGTCTTCATATTCATCAGTACAGTATCAAGGGGGGTATGTTCCCAGAAGGCAACAGTTAAGTCAAGTAAACAAAGAAATAATCACTTGCCAACAACAATGGTGTAAATATCATGTATTTTCAAATATTTACTCTAAAAGTACTGTATGTTAAAATGTCATATGTTGTTAATTGTTACATGTACATTGTATAATGTATTGTACAGTTTATTTCATGACACATATATACATGAGGTCATAGTAAGATGACTGAAGTTATAGGGGAAAAAACATTATAATTTAATAAAACTTTCTGTACATATATATATTTTCCTAAAAAGAGCTGGTGGATTTGTTTGTGTACAATTGTTTTGAAATATTGGGACTTTTAATTTTGATCGAAATAAATCAAATTATTGACCTTGTATTGTACTATTTGTGAAATAAATGCATAAATCAAAAAATATTTGTTCATAGTTTCAACTGTAAAGTAGCAATAATTGTTTATTCTTCTTAAAATATTGTAATATATTTTTGAATACTTACTCTGAAATAATGTCATCTTCATTTTCTCTAAGTGCCCCAATGAGGAATGTAACGAGGGCGTAAAATGCAGACCTGACTCTGGATTCTATATCCAAACCACATCCCTCCAGGCCCTCTGCATAGTGCTTGGCGAACATCCCCTGGTAGGATAGCATCTCTTGCAGAAAGATCACATTCGGGACCTTCAACAATAGATATGTGATCAGTTAATTTGTATGATCATTGGTTGGAGGAAATAGGGGTTTGTTTTCTTTCGACAGGTTGTGTTTTATGTTCTTTTTCCCAAACGGTGAACACTTTTGAAAAAGTTAAGTACAAAGCATGAACATGCAAAATGTCATCACCTGCCATTTGTTACAGACACGTAATGCCAACAGTGAAACGAGAACTGCCAAACTCTGAATGACAAACACTGTCCACAAACATGTTGGAGACAATAACAATATGTCAACATTTGTGGTGGTGACATAAAAATGCACGTAACAGGTTGGACACACAACATTCATTTTTTTAATTGTGTTTTTTTCTTTTTGAATGGTATATTTACCTGGAAGATGTGAGGTTCAGACATGATGCGTAAATGCTCAGCAGCAAACATGTAGACATCAGCTACAGCCTTGGCAAACTTTGACCTTTCCTCAAGCAGTTCCTGGACCCTGAATTATACACAGTAACATAAATATAAAGGAAATCTATGTCCATATGATTTATGCTAGTACTAGCATATACACCCTTGAAAAAATATACCAATACTCAAAATGTGTCTGACAATAAGTGAAATAATTCTTCAATCACAGACAATTGCTGCACATAACCATAACCAAACTGTACCCCAAAATATACATGTATAAGGGGCATAGTGAAAGTGTGACTTTTCATACTGCCTTTCATATTCTATCAGTAGGCAAAATGGCTAGTTAATTTTTCAAGCAGTGTTACACAAACATTTTTAGGTGTATATGTGTGGAAGACTACCTTTTAATTGTCCAGAGTCGATCTCTCACAAACTCAAGCACGAGGCGAAACGATGGATACTTCTCACAGCCTATGACATCATACTTGGTGTTTGAAACTGCACGGTCGACATTATTGCGCTTTTGTTTCTTGATTTTACTGACCCTTAAGTTGTGCACCTGAAATATTGTTTATTTCATTAATTTATTTATTTGATACACAACATATTTAAGTGTTGAGAATCATGTACCAAACTCAATAAATCTCTTATAAAATCTAAGAATCAGGATAACTTTGTCTTCCAATTACAGGAGGGCATTTAAAGATCCAGAATATCTTCTTAATTTTCTGGGTTTCATATTTAATTAACATATACTTACCCCTGTTTTTATATTAACTTTTGTGAGGCCAGGAAACTTTAAGAGAAAGAGAGCTTTTGATTTACAGTCTGCAATAATATCATGTTGGCTCTGCTCTCCTTGCTCCTGTTTGGCAAGAAGTTTCTGTTTTTGTTCCATGAGTGAGGTTCTCACACTCTCTGCAGCACTGTACGCTTGCTGTATTCCCTCAGATATGGCCATGCCTGCATCATTCACTAGAATTACATACAAATATAAAGTTTAGATAAATGTTTTTGGTCCTCTTTGTCTTTGATATAGTCAAATTCGAGATACAAATAATAGTGTTCAAGGTGAGGTCAGAGTGAAGGTCACGATCAAAATAATATCAAGGTAGCATTAATAAGGTCAAGGTGAAAATTAGTGGGGACAATTGTAAGGAAAACTGACTAAGGTCAAGGTGAACATTATCTAGTTGAAGTTGAACAATATTTAGGTCAAGGTGAACAATACATGTACAATGAAAACATTATTGATGTCAAAGTGGACATTATTAATGTCAAGGTGAACATAACTGAGGTCAATGAAAACATTATTGATGTCAAAAGGTTTAAGACATCTCTCCCACCAAATGTTCTTATTTCTAAACTTACCATGTTTCTCGATATCATCTCTCAGCACCTGTGTATGCCAGAGTAAAGCCACAAAGACGCTTATGACTGCTGTATCAAACTCTGCCCCACCTATTATATTCCCTTTATGACCTTCAATACACCTGCAAGTGAAATTCACAATACATTTTAGGGAATACATATCTTACACTATCCCAAGTAAACAGAAAAGATATCAGAGTTTAAAATTAAATGGCAGTCACTTTGAATTCTGAAAAAAATTATGAAGCATCATTATTCTATATCATATACAAGTTTGTATTTAATGAAATATATAATTTATAATATATAATTTAATTATCTAAATATCCCACAAGATTTTTGAAATTATAAATTAATTTTACTTGACTTATCTAGGGTCAAGGCCAATTCCACGCCTTTATTACAACAGTACATGCATGTATCTGTGCCTTATCATTTTGATTTAATTATAATAATACACCCATCATGACATGACAAGCCTTATTAGTTACCAGGCATTGTAATTATAAATAATCCATTGCTTTTACAGGTTGTTAACTAATGGCGAGTTTATCATGCTTAGGTATAGTCACATAGATCAGGTAAAAGTGAACTTTTTACACCTCTGTCATATTAAGGTGATTACACACTCTAATATTTCTATGGCCAATAGCAATTCTAAAGCTGCATAGCATTTCCAAAGTCACATTTTGAATTTACTATTGCAGATACATATGCTCAAAAGCATAAATATAATTGAACTTAGATTGTCTGTGGCTGTTGTAGGTACTTTCTGATTTGGGGGGGGGGGGGGAACTATGGCCTCCATGGACTCACCACTGATCACATGTGACTGAGGGATAACTATTATAAATCTTTTCCAAAAATTCTGAATGTTGTTGGATTATCGATGTTAAAAGAGGTATTTATGTTTAAACTAAAATTCCCATACTACTACATTCAATGATTTAAAATGAATTTTTATATATACCACTTTTCTGCAAGTGTGACATGCATTTAATTTCAACCTTTCAAATACTTTTCAACACAAAATATGTTATGTGTTTTGCATCAGTGTAAATTTTCATTTTATTTCAAACCCAACAAAAAGAAATGTTTCCACTAATTCATAGTCATACTTACCTCTTGAGGAAATCCCTTGCATTCGTTTGTACCTCTGTATGTGGTGTTGGCTGCAATGTGTCTGTGTGGGATACACTCTCCAACAGGGCATGAAGAAACTCTGCAGTGGAGGAATCACCCGGAGCAGTCTCCTAACAATGGACAAACTCAAACCTTACATTTACATGTACTGTAGATATTTTCCTGTGCTAAAGAAGACATGAAGCTCTTTAAAATGGGCGAGGGCTGATACACTTCCATATCTACCCTGGCAGAGTATGCAAGGGTTCAATGAGAATGCCATCACCAGAGAATTAATTGACATTTTTTGTAGATTTTAAATATAGTATCAATTATGAATATTTTATGATGAAAATTAAGATTATTTCTACTTAAGTGTATTAATTCTTATTATTGTTAATTTGACGTGTTCAGTTATTATTGTACACTCACAGTGTATCCAGAGAGAGATCTTTGTAGCTTTCCGACCATGTAGCCCCCTCTGAAAAGCGTGGTCCAAAGATCACTCCTCAGTAAGGTTAACTCATTGTTCTCCTCTTCCTTGTCTGTGGCAGGGGAAGGGTTAACCTCTGGAAGTACTGAAAGGGAACACACATATACAATGGTACAGTCAACAATGAGACCTGTAAGGGTTAAGGCAATACATATAACAGTTTGTAGCAAAATAGCACTTAATCATATTAACACAATGGGTCATTAGACACAGTAATAATGGTTTAAAATGGATAAATTGAAAGAAGTTTATATTTTAAACAACGGAGTGTTACCCCACAGCACTTCCCAAACATCTAAATGCAAAACATTTATCTTTAGAACAATTGACTGTTGCCCCACAGCACTTGCCAAACAACTAAAGGCAAATTACTTACCATTAGAACAATCGAGTGTTTCCCAACAGCACTTGCCAAAAAACTAAGGGAAAATTCCTTACCTTTAGAACAATCGAGTGTTGCCCACAGCAATTGCCTAACAACTTAAGGCAAATTCCTTACCTTTAGAACAATGGAGTGTTGCCCCACAGCACTTAATTGCCATACAATTAAGGGAAAATTCCTTACCTTTAGAACAATCGAGTGTTGCCCCACAGCAATTGCCAAACAACTAAAGGCAAATTCCTTACCTTTAGAACAATCCAGTGTTGCCCCACAGCACTTAGTTGCTATACAATTAAGGGAAAATTCCTTACCTTTAGAACAATCGAGTGTTGCCCCACAGCATTTGCCAAACAACTAAAGGTAAATTCCTTACCTTTAGAACAATCGAGTGTTGCCCCACAGCACTTGCCAAACAACTAAAGGCAAATTCCTTACCTTTAGAACAATCGAGTGTTGCCCCACAGCACTTGCCAAACAACTTTGCCAGACTTAGCTGCATGTCAAACATCCAGCACAAGGGGACATCTGGGCAGCCCTTAGCTGTCACCTGGTGTACAGTAAAACATAAATGACTTTATAAATTATTATACCTAACTACAAATTAGTATTGTTTCTATACTTTGTATATAAGGTAAGGTTGTTGGCTATCATATGTGTGGCCTCTTATATTTTGATGCTTCTCTGCCATGTTATTTTCAGAAAAATTAACATGGCTGAAACTCCCTAAATTACAAAAGGCCACAGCTTTACTGCACACTATACATAACTATCTTAAATATACAAAAGTTAGGACAAGTACATATGTTTTTATTTTTTATATACTGTTGCAATATAGTGATTTGATTGCTTACTTTTTAGATTCAAAGTAGTTCCTGTTCATCACTGCTAAATAACCTTGAACTTGTAACCTTATTACATGTAATTGTTGTAACCCCATTCATTGACGCTTAATTACCTTAAACTTATAACCCCATTCATTGTTGCTGCTATCAGCATGGAACAAGAACTGCAGACAGTTTCCACCACGAAATGTGACCTCTAGCGGCCACTTCTCTGTGCCAACTTTCTGATCGTATCTTGTCTTTAGCCCTTTTGAGTCTGTGAACTCTAGATAGTCGTACCTACAGAAAAAGGTGTAATGTAAAATTCACAGACAATGACATGAAAACAATATATTATACAACTGGATACATTTATTTAAAAAAATCTTGGGGTTCAAGTATTATAGGGGGGTTCACTGTATATAAATCTTAATGGGGATCCTTGGTGCATGTGGGGCACCTTTTTTGACATTTGGTATGGCAATGGACACAAATTTTAGAATCTGGTATGAGAATGCCCCTCACATTATAACTTTTGAGGTAATTGGCAGTGGTCAGATTTTTCCACTTTCTGATCTGACTGAGAATGGTCCTGGAAAATATGTTACCTTACACTTGTGGTATGGCATTGGTCTTATATTTGGACATTTGATATGTCTTTTGGGCGATATTTTGGTTGGTATGGGAAGACATTGAAATTTGACAGATTGGTTTGGGGACATATTGATATCTGAGGGTTCAGCCTAGGACCCCCGCAAAATTTTGTTGAGTGAACCCCCCAGGATTTAATATCAGGCTAATGGTCCAGACAACTGGCTTACACCGGAACTGACCTTCAACAAAAACCAACTGGGAAAATAATTGACAGATGACTGTATGGACCAATTTCTATATTTTAGTCTTGGTACTTTTAACAAATATTCTAATTTATATAATTTAGTATGTTTTATGAATTAGAGACCCTCTGAAGAGAGAGAGAACTGCTGATAAAAAGCATTATACTCATAAATACTATATACAATAAATGAACATAATATTAAGTAATACAAAGTTTTTACCTTTTCTCAGTTTCACACTTGGGGTCAAACTCAACATGGAACGTTTGTGCACCAGGACAGCCGAACACCTATATATAGAAATCATATATGACAACAATGGATTATCAACAAGAGATATTAAATTATCTAATTATACAGCAATGGATTATCGGGAATTAAAGGGATTTTTTGTGGCTGTGTGAGTGTTCCTTACAAAAACATCCGGCAAACACAACATGTTCAACGTATACATGTAGCTGTTGCTATAATTTACTCGTACTTATGAGTCTGTTCTGTTAGATTGCTGTTAAGAAATTCACTGCACACTTCCGACATTTGGATGGAAAAATAAGACCTCTAGAAGTTCACTGTACACTTCAGACATTTGGAAGGAAAAAAGGACCCCTAGAAATTTACTGTACACTTCAGACATTTGAATGAAGAAATTAAGACCCCCTAGAAGTTCACTGTACACTTCAGACATTTGAATGAAGAAATTAAGACCCCTAGAAGTTCACTGTACACTTCAGACATTTGAATAAAGAAATTAAGACCCATATATACTGTACATGTATGTGTACCTGTGTAATGTGCTGGTTATTGTCATAGTTATGGCTTGACTCCACATCCCAGGTCCTCAAAACAATATCCTTCATGTTGACCACCTCCCAGCTCTCACTGCCAAGCTGGAAATATAACATGACATATTTACATATTTACACCAGACCTGTAGCCAAATAGGGAGGGGGATTCACTTGCAGCACCTAAACACCCCAGGCCAAAACTTGTGCAGTTTTTCACCATTCTGAGCACTTTTCAACAGGTTCTGGGCCAAAATGGTCAAATGTGGGCCCCTTGGAATTTTTAAAAAGCTAGAGGCCTGTACAGTATAAACAGTCATTTTCATGTGTCATTTTTGTAAATTTACCTATCACACCTGCATTTACATGAGGTGAAATCCAAAGTATTTTTATGAATTGGCAATATTCACAGTATATACTTGCTGAAGAAAGCATGCCTTTCTATCAGACTCATATTCATTTTTATAATATCTAATCCACTTCATTTGTGGATATTTGGTACTGAAGATGGATTATATTTCTGAATTTACCTTCTGTTTTGAGACCTTACTTGTACTTTATCTAGTATGCTGTTCCCTTTGATTTAGAGGTTTTACCAATACGTACTTACCGGGTAAAAGAACTGGGGCATATGTAAGGCAAGGGACTTTAGGTTAGTAGCAAATGGCATCAGTAATTGTAAAATTTTCACCCTCTCCGTAGACTCAAGGTGTGGAATCACATTGGTCAGAACAATCACCTGTAAAATACACAACAAAAAATGAAATAATATGATTATGTCACGACAATGGTGACATATTATGATAGTCTCCAAGATTTTTTGTGGACAATGTTTGGTGTTCAACATTTGGTGTTTGGTGTTCCAACATTCAGCAGTTGGTGATTGGCATTTGTAACAAATGGTAAGTGATGATATTTTTCATTTTAATGTTGTTTTTTTGTTTGTTTAATAGTGTCTCATACTTTATTGGTGTCTTATACATGATCCAAGGGATTTATCTAAAAGTGTAAAATTCTGACCAAAACTGACTATGATTTTTCTCATTTTAAAGTGGGTGCATACAAGCTTTAAAGTGAAGGCCTAATTCTAAAGCTCAAACCACTTAATCCAATGCTGGTGAGATCACTACTACTGGTGTCTCATACGTGAAACAATTAATCTTTTGTGTAAAAATAAATCTAATGAGGCAAACAAGTCCATGGTTTTTTCATTAGTTTTACGGAATAGAAGTTCAAAAATGTGTGTAATCTTTATGAAAATTACTTTTACTTTTTTTAATAGATTTCATAATACAACGTGTTATTTTACAATAAGGTGTACAGGTTTATAAAAAGCGGATATTAATAATAATAAAAATCAATAACTTCTAGGAATGACTTACCATTTGTCTAAATGAAGTAGCTAGGAAAGTTTTCTCAAGTGGCTCCATTAAATTGTCAGATATTTCCTTAAAGTCATGCTGTGTTAATTTGTCCATACCTTCAATAGCCTTATTGCTCAAAAGGGTCACATCTAAAAACAATGAACACAAATATAGTTTAATGAAAACACAAAATGAAATCCTGTGCTAAGGGCTGTGAAAAAGTCAGTGTCACCCTAGTGGGGATTGAACTCACGACCCAAAAGTTTGTGTTTGGGAGATGTTTATTAATTGCTTTAGCTTAATTGTGGTGAGAATTAGTATGATTACATCACCATCACTGGCGTCAGAAGGGGGAGGGCCCCCTTTCCCAGATTTTTTAGATTTGAAACCGAGCCTAGAATTGAAAGCTCTAGAGCTAATTTAAGTCAAATTGAAATAATGACAGAAATTATACTATGTCAGTATCTAGTCTACACCAAGCAAAGAAGATCTCATTTCTCAAATTATATTTAATTCTTTACCATGTATAGATTCTCAGGAACCCATACAGTATGTAAATACTTTGCAGAATAAGTGCATAATGTATATTTTAGTAAAAGTCAAAGTTTTTTAGTCAAAGTCAAATTAAGTTTTCTAAAAAACACATTTTTTCTTGTTATTGGGAATGTTTTGCTGAGATATGTTCAGAATGCACCAGAGAGAGTCTAAATTTGAAAATCATCTGGGGACATGCCCCCTCCCCCCCCCCTGATCCCCGCTTCGTGTGCAATCCATCCATACCCAAAAGTCACCCCCCCTCTTGGCCATTAATTCTGTAAAAGGCTGAAAAGTATATATACTCACATTGAATCACCATTTTCTCCACTGCAGCTCTTACATCACCTTTGATTCCATTGGTCAGCTGGTTATGACACCATGACAACAAGCTAGTTTGAAGAGAGCTCAATAGATGGACCAGGTGTGCTGCCTGTTCTGTGACCTCACATGTCTCAAGTACCAGGATGAACTCACGATAAGCAACAGATATCAATGTTTCCATGACGTTAAGAACTGGCTCAAAATGGAAGTCTTCCATCTGGAGGTAAAAACATGAGTTGAGTTAAAAATCTCCTCCCCACAGTGATTTTAATGGAGTACAAAATTATCAAAGATAAATACATTCACAATCAACCTGATAAAAACAGCAGCCTTTGGTAGTTTCAATACATATGCTCTTTTGGTTATATTTTTTGCATTGTACATGTATAGGAGCATAATACCCAAATAATGGAAAAATAGGTTTTTCCAATGATTTACTGTGTCAACTGGTTTATTTGCATGTTTGAGTTTGTACTAAGGTATGCTCATTCACCTTATCTATCGCCTTTGGCAGGTCTAGTAAGGCACTTGGATCTACACTGCTGAAGAATTGGCAAAGTGATTGGAATATCAATGACACGGATGGGGCTTCCTCGATTCCCTGAAATAAAGTAACAGTACATGTAAACAGTCACTAACTAAGCATCAATGTAAATCTACATTGGACATGTTTCTTAAGGGCCCAAGAAAAACAATGTGAGTATAATAGTATTAGGGAAAAAACATGTACTCAAAATTTGCAAAATATTGTACAAATAACGACAAAATTCTTCAATGAAAATGTTATCCTTATCTATACAGTTGCAAGAGATTTGCCGAGTAAAATTAGCCTTAATTCCTGGTACCTGCTTATACTTCTTCAAAACACATGTTATTGATGAATAGTAGGCCACAGATTCAAACCCAGTGAAATGGTCCAAACTGTTTAGAGTCAAATATGACAAAATCATATGTAACAATTTACAAAGATGCTTGAGTGAATTCCTTCAATAACATGTTTTATCTTATATTCTTAACAGGTAAATGTAGTTGTAAATATTTTTGTTACTTGTATATATGTTGAATAAATAATCTTATAAAAAATATTTGAATATCCAACTCACACTAGCTGTGCTCATCATTGAGAACAACTGCTTACGACGTGCATCTTTATCAGGGAAGAATATAGCAGCTCCATCTATAATAGCCTTCTGTGCAGTTTTTACGAGACGTGGATCAATTGTGACATCACTCTCCTTGTTGGCTTCGGCATTAGATGGGTTCTTATCAATCAGATCGCACAAGTGTTTGAAAAGTTCATCATTCGAAGCCTGGATTTAAACATTTATCAAATGAAATTAGTAAAATTTATCAAAATATTGCTGTGAAAAAATAATAAGCCTATATTGAAAATATAACACCTCCTTTTTAGAAAATAAACACACAAATTACATTCTGGAATATTTTTTGATAATTTAGCTTCTTTAATCAGTTTTAAGTAAATTCACAATGCAGCTATGCAACATGTTGTAAATTATCAAAAGTGTTAATTTTTTCTCCATATTTCAGTGCGTAATGTTAACCATTATTTTTGCTAGCAGAAGTCTTCCTTGAGAAACTGACCTAAATAAAATGAGTTTCTCACCTTACTGGATGACTGTTCTGAAGGCTTCGAATTGGAGATATATGGGAATATACAATAGACAAGCTGTAGGGAGAGCACGCGAGAGGCTAGCCAAACTTCATCTTGACTGGAATAAAAATGTTTTGCTAGATTCATCATTAGTTTTTCAAATGTCCGTTTGCACTATTCATAATGACAGCTCATTCATAAGGAGTGTCCAGTAGTAGAGATTTTTCCAGTAGAAGTTATTCCGCAAAAGGAAAAATCAATTGATATGAGAAACACAAAATGAAATCTTGGTATTTTGATGGCTTGTGTGTTAAATTCTGCCTCAATTTTAACAATGTTTTGTACACGTGATTGAAAGTAACACTATTCTACTTTACATAATATTAATAATGATAGGTGCAACATTTAAAATACACTTAGCAACACTAACAAAAGGAATATGTTCCACTGTCCTATGGGGGGGGGAGTAATTCATTCAGAAGATTAAAACCTATACAGCTGTGTATAATTATATTGGCTTTTATATTAAATTTCTTTAGAACAGCCAGATTTTAATTAAAATAAAAACAATCCTGGGTTTTGGGACTAAGAGAATATTAAACTGAACTCACATTTGAGGAAAGGATGAGTACAGTTGCCATATTAAGTTGACAGTCATTCCACTCATATCTAAGTGAGTCGCTTTGCCATTCACTGAACTGACTAATTTAGAGGGATCCTAAAATCAAAAAATTAAAAGAAATAGGAAATTAATTACTCTGATGAAACAATAATATGTTTTAACTGCTCCTGCTCCCAATCTAACCTTATTATAAATCTAATAGATATTTGTGAAGAATTGCTAATTTTCTTTTTTTGAATATTCTTATGGAAATCTCACCTGGTCTTTGACGAGATCAACTAAAAACAGAAGGATTCGCAAGAAAATCTTTTCATTTGGAACAATTTCATTCTCTTCTTTTTCACTTGAGTCTTCGTCCTTTGTTTCCTTTTGTGGTATCATAGCAATCTTTTCCTGGAAAAGAACAAAATGTACAATGTACATACTGCCATGTATACAACCATCATTTACAAATTGTACATACGAGATATATGTACTTAAATGTACAAAATCGTGTTTTCGTGTACAAAAATCAAGAACTTAAAACGTGCTTTGTTATACATGTACACTCCCATCCATAAGTTTGGCAACCCTAACTCCCTCATTGGCCTACGTGTCAAAGCCTCTTTATGTTTGAATTTTCTTTTAGCGATTAAAATACTTGATAAAGGTGGAAGTGCAACTTGATTTCATTTACAGTGCCTCTAAATTTTCCCAATTTTTTCTCAAGTAGAATAAGTTGAAAATTGATGACTTTGATGAATTTTTGAAAATTGTCATTCCCACGTAAACAAATGGGAAATGGTTGGTTCGGGCAAATCAGATTTCTGGATATCTATTTATTAAAAATTCACCAAAAATATTTTTATATCGAAAATTGAAGTGTATAACTTTTTAGCGCGCTAAGTGTTAAGTTTACTGTGTTTACTGTGTGAAGTTACAGAGCTTCAGAGTCATTTTTGAAAATAATTTTTCTCTATCTGTGTTATTTCAATGGGTTATTTCTCTTGAAAAATAATTCTGACTTTGGAGACCTATAACTTTGTTGAATGTGTTTGTTAAACACAGTATGCAAATTCAATTTTTTACCTAACTCGTATTTTTGCGAGAACTCGGACAGATGGATATTCTGTCATATGACTTGCAACAAACCTTTCAGTTCCCATTGGTTAACATGGGAATGTCGATTTTCAAAACTTCATATTGTTATTGTAGAAAAATATTGAGAAAAAGTTGAGGTATTCGAAATTATGTCAATTTATATTTCAAGCCCTAAAAGACTTTTCTTTCCAGATTATGGGAATAAAAATTCAAACATAAATAAGCTTTAGCACATTATCCAATGGGGTAGTTAGGGTTGTCAAACTTATGGAGGGGAGTGTATATACAAACACCATGTACTAATTGTTCATACCTGTATGTGAATACATAAATCAAGTACATGCACTTACACATACACAAACATCATGTACAAACAGGAGGTGTTCAACTGGAGGTTCAATTAACATTTAAGGCCCACATTCAGAGACCCTGGTACAACTTCAAATACAACTGTCTCAACTATATGCTAATATGAAGGGCACCTACCCACTGATCAATCTCTACGGCAGAACTGTCACGAAGGAAACCAAAACATTTTATCCTCATGATGCCCAGTCTCTCTGCAGTGTTACTCCTTGGCTGTAGGAACTTTATCAGCACATACTGAAACAATAGGTTTTCTCAATCTAACTAGAAATCGGCAACCCCACGGAGTAGCAAATCCTAATGAACAAGATGTGCATAAATCTGCATATTTCATATAATATTTACCATCTACTCAGGTTTGAGCAAACCCCTTCCAAGTCAAAAATTCTTTCAAAATCATGCAGTTTTTCACTATTCTGGACACTTTTAAAGTGATCTGGGCCATTTTTGGCCAAATTTGTTGAATGTGAACCCCCCTGAAATTTTTTGTAGTGAATTCCCCGTTAGCAAAAGTTACACCTTACATCCTGAAAAACAATTGGATCTCAAGAATCCTGATTCATGACATTTCAATACAGTCTCAGTCCTTACCTGTCCTACTGGGCAGCGATCAAGTGGAACTTCAACCTCATCCCATTCATCTTCCAGCCAGAATGAGGCTACAGGATAGTACAATAACTCCTCATCATTCATGCCAGCAATCCTGCAATGGTCACATACTTATGTACAATCCTACAATTATATAGGGACTTTTTATAAATCTATTTTCAATGGTTGTGCCATACTGGCATTAATAACCATGTCTTTCATGTATATTGAAATATGTATAGGTCAATGTGTGGATACTGCATATCATCAATATCTATGAGGGAAATGTTATAGATATCCTATTTACAAAGGGGGAAACTTGCAACCATAAATCTAGACTGGCATCTTAATCACCATTTGTCTTCTACAAATACATTCTGCATTTCCTTACCTTTGTTTGTTCCATAAATTCCACAGGGAGTAACTAGTGTGAGTCCAGTCATCAAACTTCATAAATCTTTCACAGTGCTTTTCCAAATCAAATTGCTCCCTATAAAAGTAAGAAACAGTTTCATTTATCATATGTTTTGGTTAATGAAAACACAGAATGAAATCCTGTGCAAAGAGATGATGTGAAAAAGTCAGTCCACCCCAGTGGCGATCAAACCCACCATGATCCCTGGTTTTCCATTTTCCTGCCATAGTGATTTATTTGTCACAACATGGAGGCATCATTGAATACATGGTAATTTCAAGAAAAAAAGAGGATCAATATGAAACATCACAAGTTAGTGAAATTGAAGTGAGTAAATAACATGAGCAGTAGATGAGCATGTACAGTAAAACCTGTCTAAGTGGATCAACTCTGGTAACTCTAAAAAGTGTTCCACTTGGGAGGTGTTCCACTTACAGAAGTTCATTTATCATTAAGTCAATTGGTCTTAGGACTATGAAAAGTGTTCGTTCCACTTATAGATTATCCATTTCTAGAGGTGTCCCACTTCACAGGTTTCACTGTACTTCATAGAATCATTTCTTTATTACGTCAAGTTAAACCATTTTTAGATTCAACTTACTTGTCTCTATATACAAAGATCAAACCGCACTGTGGTCCCTTTGGCCCTTTATCAACCTTTATTCTCACTTTAGTCAGTTGAAAATGGTCAGCCCCTTTGAAAAACATGTTCACTTTGGTTTTTCCATCTGCAGTCAAATAACCTATGAAGTGAAAATAGTATATGGTTTAATTATATATCAGGTTTATTTGTTCGTTTGTATAAAATGTATTATAAATGGTCTAATGGGAAAAAACCAAAATGTTACAGTTGATTTTAAAATCACTATGCAATAGATGGCCACGGTTTTCAAAATCCTTAACAAGTTCTAAATATTTATCTCTATTCTACTAAAAGCCTTATCAGTCCAACAAAAGTCTTGTCAGCAACATGGTTTTAAATCAACTGCTCTAAGTTTACCTTGAGTGGCAGAGGTCCAAGCTCCAGAGAGGACATTTTCAGGTGTAGATGTCTCGTTCTTCTTTCCACCATCACATCCAACCAACTTCAAACTAATATTGTGACCTGAAATGTTAAACAATTTATAATATCTATCTTCAATTGCGAAAAATAGAAGTACAGATAAGAACTATATAGAACCACAATGTAAATTTTCCAAAAAGCTTCAGTCTGAAACATCATTAGATATTTCTTACAATTTTCTATTTTCTAACAATTGTGTTTAGAGCATTCAATATTCTTAAATGATCACTAAATTAAAATTTCTAATATACTGAGTAAAACTTGTGAACAGGAACACATTCCATTAAACGAACACTTCTTTAAAAAGTCTCATGACTTTAGTGTTAAATGAACCTCTGTAAGTGGAACACCTCCAAAGTGGAACACTTAGAGGTACCAGAGATGTTCCACTTCCACAGGTTTTACTGTACCTTGTTTTTTCCAGAAGGTGTCCCTGACAGCTACAACACTCTTTAAAAGTCCTGCAACTCTAAGCTTGAGACCTGGGTTGTCTTGTAGGAGTCTAAGGGCGGAGATGATTCCAGCAACATGGCCACGTGCCATGCTGAATGACAACAGAATCTGGAGTCCATCTGCACTTATAGCCCCATCAGAATCACTAAACAAAATATTTTTGATGAAATATATAAGGGTTATGTACTGGGAGGTTTTGGATACAGGTTTTATCCCAAGGGAAATATGTGTATATCCAGAGGGACCGCAGGGACCGAGGGATATACACATATTTCCCGAGGGATAAACCCTGTATCCAAAACCGATCGTACATAACAGATGTATTTCATACCTACTGATGTTCTAGGTACGTCATAAAAATTGGCACCAAAAAAAAATTTTGAAAAAAAATTTCAGGAGCCGGACCGGGATGGATACAGCGTGTATCCATCCCGCCCCGGGCCTTGGCTAGATACAGTATATATTCCCGCTCGTTATGTACCTAGAACCTCAGTAGGTATGAAATACATATATATATTACAGTATTTCCTAATATAGTATTTGATTTCTTATTAACATCTTGAAGAGCATTGTATCCTACTGTATCCTTCAAAAATCTGTTAACTTCTTGAATTTAAAAAAGACTTAATATTTCTAAAAATTATTTCAAAATATTGAAGACAATTGTGTGACTTACACTGAAATATCTGTGAGGAAGTTCTCCATCTCTTTGAGTACATGTGTACTTAGAAAAGAAGGCTTCTCCGAGCTGGTTGGGCATAATGATAATGGCCCCATGTGACTCAAGGCAGTCCTGGAAAATTTCAGATCACTTTTTAATTTCAAAACTACATTTGCACAAATGAAATGAATATGATTGTGGCCTGAGAAATATCACTGCCCCCCTCCCCCTTACAAGCAGGGCCTCGACATCCAGAATACCTTTTCCTCCATACAAATATGATTTAAGATTCTACACATCTGCTATGGAGTGTGGTGCTTTTTAAAAATTGGCACCAACAACCAAGTTGACATTATCAGGCCATCCTCATCCATCTAATTCAAAAACCAAAAGTGTTCACGGTACATTACAGTTCTGTTTTAGTCTATGGTACTGTACCATACTTTATGGTCAATCCAGTACCGTACAAAAATGTACCACATGGTACTGTAGTGTTAAAGACTCTCTGTGTAGGTAATAATAAATCTGACTACCTTGTATGCTGCAGTATGCTGTGCCTTAACTGAGGGGCCACAGGGATGTAGGCAGTGGCTGTAGAGGCAAGCACTTGAAGATACCATACAGCTGATGCATCCAATACACTAACTCCAGGATCCTTTATAATCCTAAACATATATATGATATATGAATTAATAATATGATATCTAAGATGATATAATATAATATGAGACTATAGTTTGTGAAATCACATAGCAATTGAAGTCTTTGGCAATTACCAGATTAAAATCTGAGATTAAATATTTACCACAAATCATAACATGATGTGCCATTGTTAGAGACATTACATATAATTGTTACGTATACAGACAGGCAAAGTATTGTTCTACTTATAGAGATGTCACATATCATGTCAGAATAGGTTTTATATTTAAATGTTAAAAGATTCAAGCTCTGGACTCGTAGTAGCATTGTTATGCATTGTAGGCCGATTCATTACACAAAGGTTTTGTTTCAAGACCTTTGCATGAATGCAAGGCATGAATCATCCACAATGCATTGAGTCTTGTGCTTAAATAATCAGTTTATCAGTTTCACTAGAATCTAAAAACAGCCTGGATGCATTAAGAGTAGCATATTACTATGTGGAATGCTCTATTCTAATTGGCTGGAATTGGACACAACTTGCCTAGTTACGTGTGAATACATTATGATTACCTGTATCCTAATGTTTTGAGGCCATGAATACGACAGTCACAACCATCACTATGGCAACGCCTAATGTTGATTTGAATTATGGGATAGTAAGTCTTGGCATTTTCAAAGACAATCACATCTCCTGTCATATGGCTGCAAATAACAAGGTTCAGGATAAACAATACTATATCTAGTACTATATCAAAGCATTGCTCCTACGCGATAGCATGAAGCCACCTATTGCCAAGATACAACTACCTTAAGTCAAGAAGTATTTGGCAATACATTTAGTTTTAACAAGAGGCTATCCTCAATTTCAATTTTCAATTAAGTGGAAAATTTCTGCATCTCAAATTTTCAATATTTAATCTTATTTCAAGAAATTAAATAAGGATTGTCAAGGAAACAGTGGCATGCTTTTCAAAATATTGCATTCAACATACACTCTCTATCCCTTTGATGTTTTGAAACCATTGCTTTCAACAGGCCAATATTTTCATGGATATACAGTTATCTGAATATATAGGATCTTGTACTGACAAGTTGAGGGGTCATTATGACAAACTAATCAACCAAATGAAAAATTGCATTCATATTTTACAATGACATGTGAATTAAGCAGATTTTTATAAATTGCACATACCCACAAATTAATTGATAAGATCCTTGAAAGGTTGATAAAATCTAAGAAGGAGAATATGTTAATATAGGTGTGCCATTACAAATATATTGGTCACATTCCACCTAACCAACCAGCAGAGCTACAATGAAGGGAATTTGCGTTCTACTAATTGCACTGTCTTTAGTTGTGTTTGGAGAGTCACAATGTTCATGTAAGCAAAAAAACACTTTTATATATGACAAGAAAAACATCACTTTTAAATATGACAAGAAAAACATCACTTTTAAATATGACAAGAAAAACATCACTTTTAAATATGACAAGACAAATATCCCTATTAGATATTGGGTGATCCAGAAGTAGCGTCAAAGGTGTTGCCATTTCAATACTATTTGGCTAATCATCTTGAAACTTGGTACAGGTGTTCTACAGACATTACTAAGTTGAGATCTCAAAGATAAAGCTTCTACTATTTGATTGCTTCATTTCATGGTTACTATGGTAACCCGATGTGACGTCACCTGGGGCAAATTCAACTTTGCGAAAGAATTATAACTCTTCTCAACTAAAAAACTTAAATCAATATCAATAATTTTTCAAAATATTTTTAATTTGTTTCATGTTCCCATTCGAATGTCAGTGTTGTATCATATATTATACCACTCTAAGTCCAATTACAGTTGTATAACATGGGTCTATAACAACGATATACAGTGGAGAGTGGTACACTATTTTAGTTGGTTATTTGATTTCCTGAGTAGCCAAGCGTAATAATAGCAAATATACGACTGGGGCAGATTAACAGTTTTTACTGGGATAAAGTTCATGATTTTAATAAAATAATGTTTTTAAAACTAACATTTATATTGTATTTATTTTTATTTATTTATTTATTGATTTCTCAATTCACCCCTAGCCTTATAGGGTATAAGAGTACAATGAACAACTTAACTAATACAGTAACAAACATTAAAATAACATTTGTATAAGTACAGTTTTTTGCCCAGCCTTGATTAAAAATTTACAAAGTTTTATTAGTATATTTTTGTTTGAATTTAAATATTCATTCTATTTTCTGCTAAAACAAATAATTTGCCCAGGTGACATCACATCGAGTTACCATAGTTACAATAAAATCAACCAATCAAACAGGAAAAATCTGATATTTAGCGTAAACACTCAATAATGTTTGGGGAAGATCTGTACCAAGTTTCAAGAAGATTGTTCGAGTAACATTGAGATGGAAACATCTTTAATATTACTTCTGGATCAACCTGTATGTCAAGAAGAATGTCACTATTATATACATCAGTATTATAATTGACAATTTGACAAGATATTCAGTTATTTACAAGTTATTCAGTTCTTATATGTTACGCTCTTACATGTGTACAAATTTGAGAAAAATCTGACAAATGGTTTTCAATGATTTGAAATGACAAAAAAGCAAGACACCATAACATTATCATTCATGATAACTGTATTTCACCATAGGAGTGATAAAGAGTCAAAGTAAAGTGTAAAGGTATTTAATTTTTTGTTAATTGAGTATCCATTGGAAGTTCAAGGTCACAAGAAACACGGATCTATTAGATTTGCATATTTAATATGACAGTAAATTATGACATAAACTCATTTAAATAATAAAAATGAGAAATGATCTTATGAATGAAAATATGATTTGTTTTATTTCAGCATGTTCCACTGACTGTTCATCATACTGCAGAGGATTGGATTGGTTGTCAGTGTGTCGCTCGTCATCAACTGACGCAACACAAGATTCTTGTAGAGCAAATCTTGAGATAATTTTAGATGTATGTCAAACTTCTGATGGTTGCGAGCAGCTATGTTGTAGAGGACCAGCTGAATAGATGGCGCCTCTTGGTAATCACTGAATAGGGGGCAGCACATGTGATTCATGAACAAAAATAAATTCAATTATTTGAAATAAAACAAGGATCTTGAAAATTTTAAACGATAAAAAGTTAATTAATTAATTGTAAGAGAAATACAATGTCATTCACCTGATAAGACTTATCAACAATTATCATAAAAAATTAACATGCTATAATTAAACGCAAATTTTGATTTCTCACGGCATGTTTATCAGATATTTATCTCTCATGAGGTAAATGTCCGCTCTAGTTGACCTTTCAATGTGTTATTTGCATCAAAACCAAACTCCCACCTGTTTGATGCAATAAATCACAACAAAAGAAAACCAGTGATTGATATATAGATGTTATCTCAAAAGAGGGATGGAAAATGAGAGAAAATATGATATTTCCAGAGGCCAATTCCATATTTTTTCAAAGAACAAATTCATATCTATAACATAATATAATCATAAGTGATTTTGGCTCATATGGGATCCAATATGAGATTTGATACAGTATTTTGGCTGATACAGGATCTGATCTGAAATTGGATTTTTGAATATCAAATCTATTCCCTGTTTATTTCCCAGGGAAAACATGTAATCATGGAATAAAAATGCAGTACACAAGTCTTTTATTCCAAAAACATAAAACAAATTCCAAACAGATTATTGCCTAATCCAAGATATTCCTACCTTGGAATTCTAACTTCCTTCACTTCCCTGAGCTGGCCATGTGTTGTCTTTCCCACTGACACAGTGACTAACTGAGGCATGTAGCTCTGGTCTGAGGCAGACACTCCAATGGACAACTGCTTTATCACCACATTGTTCCTGATATGTAACCTAATACAAATACAAGTACAGCAATGGGTTTACAGTATCAGGAAATGAATGTTAAATTACACAGAAAATGAAACGAACGAAAATAGTTGGGATTTTAAAAAATAAATACATTTGATTGACATATCTTGGTTAATTTTATGAAAAAATGTGGCATTTTGCGATAAAGCTATTGTCAAAAAAAAGAAAACACAACTATGCTAAAAAGTTAAACACTTGATACTAGTAAAGCACTAATGAATGTATGTTACTGTTATAGAAGACCATACTCATGTAATAGTTATACACTCAATAAAAAAATAAAATCTCAATTTCCTACTTTATCCAGTGAGACCTTGCTGAGCCATCACTTTGCCAGTGGGATGTAAACTCTCCATTACTCAGTCTGAAAAACAAATGAAATAGAGAATGAGGCAAAATGTCAATTTTTTCAAAATCCAGTGAAACCTGTATATCCGAACACCTCTGTTATCCGAACACATCTCAATGTGAACACTTTTTTTCTAAGTCTCAAATTCGTTATCTCTCATTGACTTAGATAATTTTTTCCTAATTTACAGAGGTTAATATCATGAAGGCCAAACAAAATTTATTTTGTGATCTAATCAATTCATATGTGGTAGTTATCAAAAAATGATTTACGAGTTGTGGCATCATAGCTTATTAAACATTGATCTGATGATATCAAAAGCAAACTAACAGTGTAATGGGGTCTAGATCAATACACCTGATATTTGGGATTATACTCAAGGTCCATGCTGATAACAAAAAGTTAATTGTTTTACCTGTGTGCATCTGACTTGTTGGTGGAGACCTCTATACTTTTGTAACACTTGATGATTGGTCTCAGTTCCTCCCCACCAGTCAGACAGTCCTCTACCAAACCTTTAGAAGCTGGAATGCCATAAATGAGATATAGATGTATGTCGTTGTATAAGCTAAGAAACAATAAAATGACCAATGTTATAATGACCAATGTTATATCAGAGGAAACCCTGATGAATTAAAACTGGAACTATAATTCTTAAAATTCTTAAAAAGGAAAATTGAAATTTTGGTCCTAGGGATCCTAAAACTTGAGCATGCTCTTCTATTTGTAATTGTACCTGTGTCATAATCAGGTTAAAACAATTCCGAAATGGTTTAAACTTTACAATACCTTCAGCTTTGAGTTTCTTGAACTGTGTCTGTAGTACAGTTTGCCTCATCAGGTAGGTGTTATTGAAGCCATCTAGGATCGGGAATGGCAGTGAACTGGAAGGAGCTCGGTTTCTCCAAAGGAACTGCAATAGAAGTCAAAAAAGGATAGTAATATACAGTAACTAATGAAAATCCTTTCCTTTTCAAAAATGCTACAGTACGATTTCTAAAACTTATTTTGCCTCCAGAAAATCAATCAAAATGACATAACAGTTTTGCAATTGACAATTTTTTCATACATATTATTCGAGATGAAACAAAGAATAAATTCTGCATGCAGCAGGCTTGTAGCCAAAGGGGTTCAGGGAGTGAGTGGACCCCTCTCCCTGGCCAAAATTCTTTTCAAAATCATGCAGTTTTCACCATTCTGAGTACTTTTCAATTGATTTTGCCAAAATGGTCAACTGTAAACCCATCCCTGGAATTTTTTAACAAGGCATTAACATGACAAAATGTCACCACCTAAAACAATTTGGTCAATTTAAAGCAAGTTGGAAAATACCTTTTGACCTTAAGAAGGTTTTTGAAGATTTGAGCTTCTGGGATCTTGTAGATGATTTTGAAAAAAGAAATTGTTTAATCTGAAGCAAGTTAAAACCAAAGTCAGATTTGAACTTCTGAGAACATGTAGATGATTTTGAAAAAAAAATTAAGTAAAGGACGATTCTCGGTTTGGAGAACGAAGTTCATCAATCTAAATGAGCATTATCCCTGTTTCGGACAAATTTGATTTTTTTTACATAATATAGATTTGAATGTCTTCATTTGAATAGTCATAATTTAATTTGGGTAATATTTCTTGATTTTTCGCAAAAAAATATCAGCGCAGTACACTGATGAACTTCTTTCCCCAAATCGAGACTTGTATTTTATTGAATCGGTCTAATTGAGCGTTATCCCTGCTTCAGACCAATTTGTTATTTTTACATCTTGTAGATTTAAATGTCCTCATTTGAATATTCATAGTTTAATTTGGGTAATATTTCTATATTTTTCCTGAAAAAATTATTAGACCAGGAGACTGTTCTCCAAACCGAGAATCGTCCTTTGAAGCAAGTTGAAAAAAGACCTTTTTGACCTTGAAAAGGTCATTGAAGGTCAAATGTCAAATCTAAAGTCAGATTTGAACTTCTGAGAACATGTAGATGATTTTGAAAAAAAAATTAGTCAATTTGAAGCAAGTTGAAAAAAGACCTTTTTGACCTTGAGAAGGTCATTGAAGGTCAAAGGTCAAATCTAAAGTCAGATTTGAACTTCTGAGAACTTGTAAAGTCTAATTTGAACTTCTGAAAAGATGTAGATGATTTTGAAAAAAAAATTTGGTCAAATTGAAGCAAGTTGAAAACAGACCTTTTTTACCTTTTTTGACCCTGAGAAGGTCATTAAAGGTCAAATGTCAAATCTAAAGTCAGATTTGAATTTCTAAGAACATGTAGATGATTTTGAAAAAAAAAATTAGTCAATTTGAAGCAAGTTGAAAAAAGACCTTTTTGACCTTGAGAAGGTCATTGAAGGTCAAATGTCAAATCTAAAGTCATATTTGAATTTCTGAGAACATGTAGATGATTTTGAAAAAAAAATTTAGTCAATTTGAAGCAAGATGAAAAAATACCTTTTTGATCTTTTTTGACATTGAGAAGGTCATTGAAGGTCAAATGTCAAATCTTAAGTCAGATTTGAATTTCTGAGAACATGTAGATGATTTTGAAAAAAAAATTTAGTCAATTTGAAGCAAGTTGAAAAAAGACCTTTTTGACCTTTTTTGACTTTGAGAAGGTCATTGAAGGTCAAATGTCAAATCTTAAGTCAAATCTAAAGTCAGATTTGAATTTCTGAGAACACGTAGATGATTTTGAAAAAAATTTTTAGTCAATTTGAAGCAAGTTGAAAACAGACCTTTTTTGACCTTGAGAAGGTCATTGAAGGTCAAATGTCAAATCTTAAGTCAAATCTTAAGTCAGATTTGAATTCCTGAAAACACGTAGATGATTTTGAAAAAAAAATTTAGTCAATTTGAAGCAAGTTGAAAACAGACCTTTTTTGACCTTGAGAAGGTCATTGAAGGTCAAATGTCAAATCTTAAGTCAGATTTGAATTTCTGAGAACACGTAGATGATTTTGAAAAAAAAATTTAGTCAATTTGAAGCATGTTGAAAACAGACCTTTTTGACCTTTTTTGACCTTGAGAAGGTCATTGAAGGTCAAATGTTAAATCTTAAGTCAGATTTGAAGGTCAAATGTCAAATCTAAAGTCAAATCTAAAGTCAGATTTGAATTTCTGAGAACATGTAGATGATTTTGAAAAAAAATTTAGTCAATGTGAAGCAAGTTGAAAAAAGACCTTTTTGACCTTGAGAAGGTCATTGAAGGTCAAATGTCAAATCTAAAGTCAGATTTGAACCTCTGAGAACATGTAGATGATTTAGAAAAAAAATTGAAGTCAGTCTAAACAGTATTTGTTAAGTTATAGGAAGTTGTAAGAAATTGTTACAGACGCCGGACGCCAACCTCCAACCATCAACCGCCGTCGCAAAAAAAACGGAGACCATAACAATATGTCACCACTTTTGGTGGTGACATAAAAAGTGAAGTTCCCTTGGCTACGGGCCTGATGCATGACGAGAGATGATAGTAAATTCACTTACATTTAACAATCTATTCCCATGTTGCCCTATGCTTTGTTTGTCTTCAGTGTAGACATCTATGAAACCTAGATCAGAGAGGAAAAGTAAAATTACCTTGATAATCGTTATGCTTTATTTGAAATTTCAGAGGAAAATGGAATTGCATTTACTGTTGAAGGATAACACTTGTCACCTCAGGAGTATCAACTAAACTGGGCACTAGCCTATATAGATTTTGAAAACAGCATTACATCCAGATAAAACACCAATTGCACCTAGTTTAGAAATAGAGAAACCAAAGATGGGATTGAAGAATTTTGTAAATCGTAAAATAAATTTGGGTCAAAACTATGTACAGTAAAACATTTGAACGCAAAACTCTCTTGGTCCTGCTTAGTCAATGAAAGTATTCCATGTACAATGAGGTGTTCCACAGGCAGGTTTAATTGTGAACTGTATTCTCCCTAATGAGTGCACAGTTCCAATGAGTGCACATGCAACTTTTATGTTGAATATGTTCTCAAGAAAACAAGAAGTTTAATGCATTGGTTTCGATTATTTACACAACAATTATATTTAGAAAATGTGGAATATATCAATTCAATAATGTTTGAACATTATTCTGTGCAAATGTTATGAGGATTGGGTAAAATCTGAAGAAATGCCAGATACTTTTACCTTATTTATTGATCACCCTGTATGTATTTTACCTGGAGTTAGTCTACAAGACTGCAATGTGCGTATAACATAGTTCAGCTCCCCTTGTAGGTTTGCACCATTTGACTGCTTCAGTGCATCTATCATAGAGCACACATCAGCTGTCCCATTGCCCTCACTGTCAAACTGTTGGAATGCCTATAATATATAGAACAAATACTTGTTAATTGTATCTTTAAAAGCACTATATGTCTTATATGTGGCTAAATTAAAACTATAGTTAACCTAAGAGCAATGTAGTTTTTGACACGCTATTGGCTTTAGATCATTACCCAAAGAGATGGATAAATATGCTCAAAATTTTTCATTAAATTGGTATTTTAATTTTTATGAAGTATATTGAAATGTGTGTTATTGGCCTATGTTTACTGAACATTAACGAGATAGCCATCAAGGATTGTTCATTAAAATAGTAATATAAATCACATGAGGAACACATTCCTTTACATGAATACTGGTACATAAACCAAATAATATCCAAATCTGGCATAGATAACTAGAAACATCTTGATTTATCAGGATAAATCATTGCCAAGGTTACCTGTAAACAGTCATCTTGACTGACAGATCTGTTCATCAGCATGTCAGAGAACTGGGCCAAAGTGATCATTTCCTGGTAAAAATATTTTGCATTTGCATGAAATAAATACATAATCATGTACACTGTAATCAATTATTTTAGGGGAAGATTTTTGTTAATTTTACAGAATTTTCAATTAAAGATACAACAGATATTCAAGACATCATTCATCATTTAAGTTTATAAAATATCCATTTAGCAATGTTATGTCTATCAAAAATGGCGTTACAAAAATTAGTAACTGTGCAAGTTTGAATAATTCATTTACCTCCTTTCTCTGGTGTCTGTCTTCCAGCCACCGTAGCAGGTGACCATGGTGATGCTGAATTACATTCTCAGGCACATCATCCCTGTAGTATAATATAGTTAGTATAATATAATATATAGAACATTTGCTTATATATTATACCAATTTCCAAATGCACTTTTAGACAGTTCTTTGTCAGAATTTGGAGAGTGAAGCTTGTAACAGAGTCCTGGGAAGAGGCTAAATTATAAGGCAGGCCTATCACTAGGTTTTCAGACTCAGGGTGTAAAATAAAGTCTAATCAATGCAACTTGTGAAATAGCAACTAAAATCTACTGAACATGGTTGTCTACTGGACATATGATAAACTGATTCAAATATGGTTAAATTATAAACTTATGTTACATTAATGAATGTGTTTCTGCCACAATCTATATAAAACTATTTCCTTGTGAGGGACTTTTGGTACAACTATGTCTTTAACAATGCTCGTAAAGACAACGATCTCAATCTTTTAATGAGAGTTCAATGTTAAAATTAAAATTCAAAGTTAACTCTGTGGAAAAAGTATGCTTTGTTTGTCATGAGGGGCTGTGGGTTCGATCCCCACTAGGGTGGACTGACTTTATCACATCAGCCCTTAGCATGTAGGATTTCATTCTGTGTTTTCATTAACCAATATTTATTTTAGTATGACATTTTATGATATTTTAGTATGAGTGCTGTGATTTTAGACACATTTAAAAAGTTATTCAAGTGTAGTATAAATGCTTGATTAACACTTACTTTATTTTTGAGGCAGCATTTCTCAAGGCAGTTGGCATGAACAGCACCCCTAAATCAACCAAAACACCTGGAAGTTCTTTCTCTGCAATGTTCATACATAAGAATTCATACTGTAGTAATGCATATTGTAGAACACTGTCTTAATACCTAATACAAATTAAAGATCAAATTAAGGATGTAGATTGCATTTAAAGGAGAAGAATAATCAATTAATAATCTATGTATTTTTATGCATCATTTAGACCTATAACATATGCAAGGCTTAATTTTAGGGGACCACATACATTAATACACAATACGCTCAGTACTTACTAGGGACTACTCATGAGTGACTATACACAGAACTAATGGATAACTTACCAGAATCTTGTTCAGTATCAGAACCTTCATCATCATCCTAAAACAGAAAAATGAAAATAAGTGTCGAAATGAAATGGGAAACATTATGAGTCAGGGCTCGAAACTTATTTTGCTACAATGGTCATTGAGGCTGTCAAGTCTAGAAAGAGTATACTAGCAGAACTGCCCTATTTTTGCTGATTTTCTGCAGTGAAAACATCAAGATTTCAAATCTCAAAACTAAGAATATCAACAAATTCAGAGGCCTCAACAGTGTTAAATGCTACTGGACAGGCACTTACATTGACGAGTCAGAAAATTGAAAATCTGTATTTTGGCAGAGATAGCAGGGGTTTTATTAGCAGCAGGCAATCGCCTGTTGTTTTTAGGGACTTTTCAACTTTTCCATGTTAAATTTATCATTTCCATTAAATTTGCCTTTTTGTTTTCATTTATTCAGCCTGTTGTGAGAAATCCTAGTGAAACCCCTGGATTGGGAAGTAAGTCACCCCTCCATTTTCAGGGGCGTAGCTATATATATGCTAGCTACATCTGCGTATAATTGAGAGTCAAGACCAAAAGTGTAAATTGAAATAAATCACATATTTTGACACAATTTAGATGATATTACTGACCTCAACTAAAATGATTTTCTGTAGAGGATTTAAGTATATATATAACTGATGCAAATGTAACATTGTTTAGGGACCGGACCCCTAGACTATATCCTATTTAGTCTGAATTATATTCAGACTATAAGGCACTTATGTTAAAGTTTGGTAATTCTAAATATTTGTTTACATAGGAAGTGCTATTCAAAATGGCCGATTGGGTAAAATTAATTTTCACATTTGTTACTTCAACTAGATTTATTTCCACTTGACAATATGCTGTGTTACTTTTTATTGCATTTAATTGTACCTTACTATTTACAATGTAATTGAAATTTTGTAATGTTTATTTTATTGAAGAAATTGTTCCTCCAATTGATAATTTTGCGCAAAAAAATTCACTGCAATTTCCACAGGAAAGTAGTTCATCATAACAGACTAGTCAGTCTGTTGGATACTTACTAACCGGACCCCTACAATGTTTTTCCAAAGAGCACTTCAAGTTTCCTCGTTCAGTGTAATATTTGCATTCAGGACAGATAACGGGGATATAACAAGCAGCTAGAGTATACCTTGTAGATCTTATTTTATATGATAAACTAAAGATTGCACCATTTGGTCTAATTTTACAGACTTTGATGGGAAAATCTATTTAGTATGATAACTCAAACACTATTTACAACAGAATAGCAAGAAAAATCACTCAAAATGTGCAAATAAAAAAATCCAAATTTTTCCAGGGGGACATCCTCTAGTTTTGCTGGGACTATGGCCTCATATACTACTACTTTTTTCAAGGCCCGACTTCGTCGCTAAGATGCTAAATATAAGAGTTAGCTGACGTTTGGGAGTCTGACTTACCTTCTAAAGGTTAGAACCCGAATCTTAATGTAACCATATCACCTTTGTTCCGTCAACCATGGAGCATTTGCCACAACATCCAAGAGGTAAATCATTGACCGAGAAAATGAATGATTTCCTTGTAAGTTCCGGAAGTTTCAACGAAAAATTACCGAACATATGTGAAAACCGAATATTTGTTCGTTGTTTTCACGATTTACAGGTTCGTTTGTTCTTCAATGTTTTGGTCTAAATCATAAAGCATCACCAACAGGTCTTACTCTATTAATCGACTAATACAGCAGACGGCTCATATTTCTACGTAGCATTTCATTCAGACCAGTGGGAGTGTAGATCACGCAGTTTCGTTCGTTGCGTACTTCACTTGAAATTGGTAATTTTAAATATTGACTACTTCACGTAGCTTGGCGGATGTAGAACATTGCTTAATATTCTTTTAATTTTCACACCAGACATGCTTGGTTGACACGTCAACAAATCAAGTTCAAGGGTCAATGCGTTATTTCGTGATAACTACAAAGCCTTCCCGGAGGTCAACATTGATGAAAAATGAAAAAGTCGGAAAAGCATTTACACTACTTTCTATCAAATGCTATGTTTATGCATCATCATCGACGCAACAAAGGTGATATGGTTTCATTAAGATTCGGGTTCTAACCTTTAGAAGGTAAGTCAGACTCCCAAACGTCAGCTAACTCTTATATTTAGCATCTTAGCGACGAAGTCGGGCCTTGAAAAAAGTAGTAGCACCACTGGCTATGCCCCTGCTTTTATATTCTATAGACCATACATTTTTGGATGGGTGACTAACCGTGAGATGAGGCCACAGAGTATCAAAAACTGTAACAATGGCAATTGAAACATAGGCAATGATTTAAAAATTGTGTCTGAGTTGACGTTGTCTCCATTCTTGAAACGAAACTTTCTCAAGTCAATCACAAGTCCGAAGAAAATGATTGAATGACATAATTTTCATAATATTTCAAATAAATATATAAATTGGCTTCAAACCTTCATTGCATCAGTCCCAACATCATCCTCTGCATCGCTTATACTTGAAACGTTTCCCATGTTATCGCTCTAACTTCAAGTTAACGCACTAAACACATTTAAAAGGTTGGTCATCTTCCTAGAATTTTCATGAAAATTTTAGCTCCCTAGATGGCGCTGTAAAATTGCACCGCACGAAAATCAAAAATTGTTGAACAAGAACACAAACCCGGGAAAGAGAGTCTGGCTATTATCCTTTCCTGGTGTTGTGTATGGATTCATTTGAGCATTTACTAGATGCCAGGAGATGGACCAAAAGTAGATGTACAATCTTTGTTGAGTTAATTTGTTTCTTTAAAGGTGCAATAATTAGTGCAGAGGGGTCATTCAACGATCATGGACCAGTGTCAAAATATATTGAAGTTTGGATATTTCATCAAGACTAACATCTATTTTTATTATCTACAAAGAAACCCCCTAGATAAACATTATTTTAGCTGATATTCCTCTTGAAACATGGTGGATCTCAAAAATATAAAAGTGGAAGTCCCCTTTTTGAAGCTTTGAACTGAATTTACACTTCTTAATGCTGAAATTGATAATTTATCCATACATTTTAAGAAAATAGGTATGTCAAAGAAGATGTTAAACCAAATGTTGCCTTGATAGCTCAGAAAAAATGTTCCTATTTTCTCTACAGTCTTTATTGCCCCTTTAATATAGAGCCTATGTGGCACAAAATAATTCTGACACCTGTAAGATCTATTGATAGTTTATGTTGCCTCACCTATTTCAAATTTGCCTCGCCTGATTCTGTCTATGGTTGTGAATTAAATCAATTCACTTGCATATGGTCACAATATGGAAAAGGCTTACATGTAGCATACTTATCGGATCAGCTTTTTAAATGCATTTTATTCAGATATGAATGTCTTAAGTATTATGTGATTTCATCATTAAGTACACATATTGGGAGGTATAGATATTGAATCATGAAATGGAATTAATTTTACAAGCAATTACTGTAGTCATCTGGTATCTACTACACAGGACTTTGATTCAGTATATTTATGTATTATAGTGCACTTTTAATGCACTGGTGGAGAATTATAAAAAAAACTGCAGACAAATTCCATCCACCTTTACAAGCCCTACTGACTTTTTTGAATTATTATGGAATAAAATGGAAGAAACATTACTCATAAATTATTATATTTTCTTTCATAATTTTATTTTATTTAAATAGATAAAATCAGATCTATCTTGTACAAATCACGGGTTGTATCCAAAGCCCCGTTATAATTGAGAGATCGCGAGCAAGTTCCCGCTGAAATCACGAGCAAAGTCCTTTTTATTTAATTCATCTGGAAATATGGACCAAAAAGGTAAGAATACGCATTACTGTTCTTTGATACTTTAGGTATACTTTCAGAACAGGTATATCTTCACAAACAATGACATGAAAGATAACTATTTTTACTGGCATGGAAGAAACGGGCGTCAATATGCACGTTTGCATAATTTACTGTTAACATATTACTTTTATGGTTAAAATAGAGACAAGAACTACGATATACATACCTCATTATGAATATTGGACCAACATTGTATGTATTGATAAGTTTGTTTTCAAAAACATCCACTGTGGGGGGTGAAATACATCATTGAAGGTGTGCCAGTGGCCCCGCTGAAATTATGAGGAAGCCCCGCTGAAAACATGAGGAGGTCCCGCTGAAAACAGGAGCAGATATCACGAGTACCCGCTTCGATCACGAGGAAAGCTCATTACTATTACATAAAATATTGCGGTTCTTCAAATAAACGTACACGAAAGACCAAGTTAAGTACTTCTAATAACTGTATATATACTGTTTCATTCTAGGGCCAGGTTTCTAATGTTTCCATTCCAACTTCAAGCCACCTGATTAGACAATCAACATTGGTTTTTTATGAAAGTCTAGCATATTTAGAAAAGATTGACATCGAAAAAAAAAATTCAATTTTTTTCAAAAAGTTTTTGTTACCTTAGTGACATCACTAATGTTTCAAAATATTTTTGATAAGCTAAAACATTGAAGTGGCCCATTAAATATGACATTTTATTATTGAAATAGTGTGTCTTTTGTTCAATCTTTGCATTGGTGTTAAAATGATAATCTTTTTTGAAATGCATTAAGAAATATTTGATGATTAAGAAATTTCAACTTTTTTTGAAAAATGGCGGGAAATTTGAATATTTGAGAAATGAAATGCTCACAACTTTTTTTTCAAAAATTTTTTTTTGTTCAAAAATCTCTAAAATCACTTTTTAAGTCCTGACAAATAGTAAATGAATGATAAAAAAATATTTTCAAACTTTAGACGGGGACTTTAATGATGAAATTATTTGATTATTATTATTTCGGACTCATAATCGGATGATGTACTCCTTTGTTACTTACATCTAGCAGTTGATCCATAAATTGCCTTTTCAAACGTGTGCGCCATTGGTGCTGAATCCTCTAAGGTAGTAATATACTGAACTACAGTATAATGTAACTTCAGTGAAATATAAATATATATTGCATACAAAGAAGAATGAGTTATTTGAAACTTGTCAAAAGTCGTGGAATGGATTTAAATCTTCTCTTGGTAAATTTCTCAATGGAGTCAGGTCGAAATACATTAAGTGAAATGGTTTTATTGGAATCATGCTCGTAGCCAGCTTTTGGTAAGGGGGGGGGTTGCTCAAACCGATAATAACAATGACAATGATATATGATATATATGTGCTCTGTAGAGTATCAATAATTAATATATTTATTACGTTGGCTACAGTCGTGGCAGATTTGCAAAGTCAAATCGGTCTTCACTCCATTTTAGAGAGCCACTTGCTCCTGATTTCAGCGGGACCTCCTCATGTTTTCAGCGGGGCCTCCTCATGTTTTCAGCGGGATCTTCAGTTTATTGCTCATAGTAGAAGCGGGGCCTCAAGGGATATGCTAAAATTGAAATATATAATTTTTTGTGAAACTTTAGGAAGTGAAACTTACAATACCTTCATTTCATATTACTATGACCATTTCAACTGAAGGGCAATGACCTTCTTCAGCTATAAAATATAGAAATATATAGATAAAGATTCAATATGATACATTCTCTCTCCAATTATCGAATAACAAAACTCAGAACATCAGCTCGTGATCCTTTTTTGCAGAAGTTGCTTTTTAGTATCAATACCATGTAATAATTGAGTAAAATTAAATGAAAACGCTTTTTACAACATACAATTTAAGTAAACAAAAGATAACCCTTCTTTTCTTTTAATTGCTCGCGATTTCAGCGGGTATTTGCTCGCGACTTCTAAATCATAGCGGGGCTTTAGATACTACCCGTGCAAATGATAACAACTCTTGAGATGGAATGAAATGGATTGAATTGTATTCCTACACAAACAATATAGTCATGATAGTGAAATAACAAGGCATTAACATGACAAAATGTCACCACCTAGTCTAAACAGTATTTGTTATGTTATTGGAAGTTGTAAGAATTTGTAAGACACCGATCGCTAACTGCCGATAGCCAACCGACATCAAAAAAATGGTGACCATAACAATGTATCACTGATTGACCAATCAGTGGAGAGTATTCAGTAAAGGTACTGTTACTATTTAGAGGTAGACGCTACAACAGTTCAGTGTAATTTGCATGATTCTAATTATTTTACTTCCAAAATATACTCAAATATAGATCATTTAATGAAGGATCTTGTTTGTAAATATTACATGTATAGTAAGGTGCTTACTTTTTCTTGATAAACACACTTAAGAACATTGAACAACTGAATGGTAATACCCTGTAGTTTGCATTATGTGTTATGTTCCAAAACCACATTCAAAAGAATGATATAATATTGGTGCCTGCAGTGCAATACTCAGATCATATACAGTAAAAACCTGTGTGTAGTGAACACATATGAAGCCACAAAAATGTGTTCACTGTAGATGTAAGGTATTCATTACAGAGAGGTGATCTTATACAGATGTCTGTGGTTATGTGCTGAGAAGGGGTGTTCACTAGACACAGGTGTTCACTAGAGAGAGATGTTCACGAAGACAGGTTTAACTGTACATAAACAAATCATCTAAAATAAAAAATACATTCCATTACAAAATACTATAGGTGTTAAGTTCTACCTACTAATTTTTCTGTATGTACTCATAAGTAAGAATAACATAGTATTTAACATAGTAATTGACATTCTACTGATTGTACTTCACATTGCACAGTTAGTCTATTAATGTAATTCACATTATTGTGCAGCATTTGGTTAAGATATTGAAGTAATTTACTCAAGTAATGATTTGATATACAGGTTTTTTGACCCACTCCGTATATGCAATGGGACATACATACTGTTACTATAAAATACTTTAAAACTCTTGTCATCAAAATATAATTTGGCAACATCACATAAAATACTTTTTATTAAAAATACAGGATGGGTCAACAACTTTGAAAGGTATTTTTGCATCAACAATTGAGTTATACATATGTACATACATTTCTATACATAAACAGATTTAAAAATAAACTAAAAGACTCTAACAAATAGGAAGTTCCTATTCATTTTCAAACTTTGTGAATTCACACAAATATGTTCCTCTGAATATTGACAAAGACAACAAACTTAGAACTTGTGTATAACTTAGTTGTGCATTGACTGTATGAATGAGATCAGATTTGTGCGAGTATTGCAGTTACAAATGCATTTCGCAAATGCATTTCATACAAGCACACATAAAATGTCACAAATACCCTGTTAGTAAAATACATTTAAATTCACAATATTACAAATACCCTGTTTCGGCTGTGATCTGATGGGTATATAATATCAAAGAGTCTGGTGCCATAAATATTTCATCTTCTTTTAATAAAATGTAATCTAAAATACGTAATCTAATATAGATTATAATTTACATCTTTAATAAAATGTTTGAAATGGCAAGATAGTAAACTGGTAAAAGATATTACAATATACACTTATGTATACATGTATATAAAATATTAAAGCATTTCAGTGAAGGCAATACATCACACTAAAAGCTAAGAGTTGGAGGCAAGAAAAAACACCAACGTCTCCACAGACATGTTGATTTTTTGCCATATTTTTATCGCATCGCTAATGTGTCTTTTTCAAGCGTAAAATAATAAATATTAAAGACAAATACAGTAAAACATGCAGATGTGGAACACCCTTGGTTGTGCTAAAGAAAGCACTAATAAAGGTGTTCCACTTATAGAGGTGTTCCATTTTACAGGTGCTCAAAAGGAACAAAACCCCAAAATTTCCAAAATTCGAGTGAACGTCAACTGAATATCACAAACTGGAATTAACAATAATATTTTTTTCCAAAAATACCACATTGACTAAAAATATCTCCTCAAATCAGCAGTATTAGATTGAGTGATTTGTGTTACATTTATACCTTTCATTATATGAAGCCTTCTCCCATTGAAACATTTGTCATTATATTAGGCTTTGTCTTATTGACAATATTGTCTCATTGAAATATCTTCCACTGTATAAGGTATCCCTCTTGGATATGCCCTCTGTTATATTAGACTTTCTCCCACTGGAATGGAGCGCTATCTTCTTGCAGAAAAAACTCTTCAGGAGTATGGAAATCTGGAAAAAGAATCAAATGTATTTACTATATATCAAGATAAAATGCTGAGTTTATCATCATATCTAATACTCAGTGTTAGGAAAAAGTCATTATACTAGCAATGTATTGATGCCATTTGTTACAGACATCAAATGCCAAATACAAAAAAGTTGGAATATGTCACCACTTGTGACATAAAAACCATAGGAATTCTAATAATGAATGCAAAATGTGAAAAATATCTCTAAAACTAAAATTAAATTATACGATGCCTATGATTTCAATCATGTCTCACGCGTTTAGCTTACCTATCCCAACATTAGCTGCAAACTGTCTATCTCCACAGTGGAAATCAGCGGGTTTCCCTGGACTCCAATCTGCGAGACGACCTGCCGAATCACCAACAAAAAAACTCTCTTTCATATCAACCTAAATTACAGAAACATGCATAAATGGTATGTAATTCTTTTAAGTAGGAACTCAGAATAATAATATAATTTCTCTAGATTTTGTAAATATATTTAGCTAGTTATTAATTTTATTGAAGCAATTACGAAGTGCCCCTTGACTCATATCTACCCTATATTGCCCCTTTAAGGAATTCTGTAACAGAAAATTGTTCCATAATCATGTAAGGGAATATTTCATAAAGAATTTTTCTGCAAGGGGTTACTTTAGAACATATATATTTGAAAGGGATTATGATATAAATAGTTGTATTCTTATAGGACTAAGTAATTATTTTATATACACTGTATGATTGTATAAATTATTTTCCTGTACTTCCTTTATGTTTTAATGGCTTTTGTAATGATAAGCTGTCAGGAGATAATGATCACTTGCCAAATAATGATGTAAACTAGAAACTAGAGATATACAATTTCCTGTCTTTCCATTCAGCAAGATATCCAGCCTTTCTACTCCGATAACACTATGTAAGAACACAATCTTGTATCAATTCAACAGGTTACCTGAGAGACTGAACTTGTAAAGTGCTCCAAGAATATCTTCCACATATCTGGGCTGGGTTTCCTACATGCATTGTACCCTGTAGAGATAAAGACCTGCAACACACAAGTCAGAGATCAATTGTAACAAACAATGGATGGTAAATACATGTATGTAGTGTTAGATCAAGTATCTACTGATCCCCTACATTCCTATCCCTGATGATGTGGTATGATGTGGGGGGGGAGGGGATTCACAGGCTAATTTTGCTTCTTCTTTCCAAAGACAATTGGAAGATGTGATGAGGATCAGAGTGAGTTCAGGATCGGAGTACATGTAATTTTTTAAATCAACAGGTGCTCATAAATCGGGAAAGGTGCTTCTAGAAATAGAAATTAATTAACTTTCAAATTTTACCAAAACTTTTTATTGTTCGTGCTTCACTTAACACCCAAAACTTCTTATAACTCCCCCCCCCCTCCATGATAACATGTTACATATAATACTGATAAATTATAAAACATTAAATTTTTTAAATCATTTTTTTAATAAAAAGAGTATTTTATACAACTGTAATATGCAATAAAAATGATTTTTCATGAATATGGATAATTAGATTTATCATTAGAGTATTCTGTTGTAATGGGTTGAAAAGTTCAAGTAAATGTCCTTTTGTGAACTTTTCGGTAATATTGCTTATCTCATATGATTACCTTAGGCATAAGTACATGTGGTATAGATTTAGCTTATATTCGTGAATGCAACTTTTGGCTGTTGGCTACCAGAGTAACCTACTATTTTATGACCAACTCAATTAAATATGGATGGAATAGTTACAGGTACTATTCATACTTAAATGAGTTGCCCATAAAATGGTTAATCATTCCAATAGCCGACAGTTGAAAGTTGCATTCGCAAATATAAGTTTAGCTTGACTCAAATAATTCATAGAAGACACATGAATATCGAATAACTAGATAAATGTATGGGAATGTACCTACAATAGCATAAAAATAACAACTAAACATTTATCAACAATTACTTTCATAAACAAAACCTCATGAACACATGGTGTCACGAAACTGAATGAAAAACAAATATTACCCCGGGTGAAATGTCTGGCACTCAGATGTTCATTGTTGAAAGTTGAATAAAGTCTCGAACAGTAAATAGAAATATAGGTCTATGCTGTTTGAAAAAACTATATCAACCACATATATGATTCAGGTGTGATGTGTCATATAATATGCAAGCCATGATAGGCTGATGTACACATGTAAATCAAGATCATGAGATCGCAAATTGGGGGTCATAAATAGTCAAAAATGATTTGCCCTTATCTGGTACTTTTGCAAATATCATCTAAATCAGACTTCTTCAAAATCCCCGAGTTTGTAAGCTGTATCAAATGTTTTCTACACCACCTGAGAATTACATTTATCATTAAGGCCAAATAATATTTAGCATTTTCCTGTGACTTATATTATCAACCTATACAATGGAAAATGTCCATGCAGGATTTCTTGAAATATCATATTAGATCTATTTGCACAGAATATATATATTTTAGTGTTTTGATGAAAAAAAATGTCACCCCCTCCCCCAATCCTTCTACAATCACAAAACAATGCTAAACATAGACTTAAATACCCTAGCCTTAAATATAACTGTAGAATGTGTATCAGACGTTGGCTACATACATTTACTGGAACCCCCAGGCTATTGATAACATCATCAATTCTTTGTTTCACTTCTTCTATAGTTGTGGTCCTTTTCTCAATCCCTGGTTGATTTGAGAATATTGCTATAGTGAATCCATCTTTGTATAATTGACGTAGTTTATGAGGTATACAGTCATAAAGCCATGTTACTTCTGCAGTGCTTTCTGAATCTGTAAAAAAGTATAAAACAAACTCTTTCAAGATTGAAACAAGTTGTGCTTATGTAATTACATAGAGAAGTTTTTAAGAAACCGCCTCTTATTGTATGTACTACATTGTAGTCAAAAATCAAAAATATAGAAGATCCACTTTAATACTTTCAATATTTTAGCCGATAGAAAGGCTTGGTTTTAGATGTCCTTGAACACTACACACTAGTGGCTTGCTTCAATGACCAGGTTGACAGAATATTATCAGTGTCTCTGTTTGAGCATGGGCTTTCAACTAATTGAAAGCCCATGGTTTGAGCATGGGCTTTCTTGAAAGCCCATGGTTTGAGTAAATTCTTATTTATCATACATTCATTTTACACTGGAAAATTGAGGATGTTGACTCATGAACTATACTCGTCTTTTACTGCACTACATACTGTAGAATGGTGACATCATATCCCTAAAGGAAAGGCCAAATAACACCTCGGGGAATCACACACAGATCATCCCTTTGTGTGAAAGTTAATGAAACGCCTGATTCTACAATAAATAATACATACCATCAAATAATCGTCCATCGACTGTCTTAATAAGAGTCCAATCCCAGTCAAATGCTGCAATTTTTAAAGATGAATTCACAGTCATATTTCGATTGTCATTTTCCATTGTTGAGGAAAAAATACAACTTGGAATTTCAGATCCGTCACTTCTTTTGTGTTTTTGGTTGAAATCTCTCCATTTCAAGCTTGGATCCACTGAAATTTCAGTAGAACAGTCCTTTGTACATTTTTCTGGGTTAACGTGATCTTTATTTGGCGGCATTGTATCACTTTATCTGAACTAAAACGACAGAGAAGATAATATTCAGTTTGCTGACTTCGATTTTTTCCGCCAAAAGGTCAACTCAAAACGAGGCTGACCTTTGATGATCCATGGATCACACAAAGGATCCGTTCCTTTATCGTGAATTTGTGAACCTATCTTGCAGTCACTGTGGTAGGTATATTGTTTAAAATACTGTCTAGACATTGAATATTAAATAGATATCAACATTAATCCGTATTTTGTCGTTGATTCACTCGTATTCAAGGTAAAATCAGATCTAGATAATTTGGATCAATTTTTCAATTCTAAAATTTGATGCATTCTCAGATTCTGGTATTTTTACAATGTAGTTCCATGACCATCAAAGGTTACTCAGAGCAAAATAAAAGAGTAGAGGATCTTTTCTAATATCTTATTAGCTAGCCGTACACCAATCGTACACCAATCGGGCATGATCAGCCAAGGGAGCTACAGAGTAAAATATGGGACATGAACGGACAAGTTCGATCATTTCCATGGGACATCAACTGATATTGCCCAATATTGTCCACCCGGACATTGTCCACCATTACCCGTTTATGCCCCAGGAAAAGAATGAACATGCTAGTTCTTTTCAACAGACATTACCGAACTTATCAAGGCGATTTAATCACGTGACAATCATATCTCCATTTTCTGACAAAATGGTACTGTACTGTGGACATCATCGAACTTTGTCCGATGGACGACTGGGGACAAGTTTGGAAAAAAGGACAAAGCTGGAAAATGTCCGATTGGTGTACGGTTACCTTTATTTCAACTGAAGAATTACTGATGATCAGGATAATTTGAGACCCTATCTGTTGCAAGTCTTACGCCTGGCGTAACCGTCACCGTGTTATTCAGTGTTTTTAAGTAGCGCAAGGATCCTGCCATGACCGTGGTAGTGTTATCGTGAAAGCCTGTACCGCGACAATGCTTTATTATATTGCAATGCCTGCCATGACCGTGACTTATTTCATGTTTCTCCCGTTGCTGTTATTAGTTTCTTTTATGGATTAACCTTATTAATTGATCATTATAGAAAGAATGTGCCTTTGAATCGAACCTTCTTGAATGAGAGTAGGGATATAGTTTGTTTTAAAATTATTTATAAGTTAAAAATGAGGGTTTCGTTGTGACATTTTTATGTATCAATGAACATGAGTACCATGTACATGTATAGTAGTCTTGATTTACATATTTAAGGTAGTTAAACACGAGGAAAATTGTCATTACGGTGTTCTCATGCTACTTTAAAAGTTATTTAATACAACCACGGTCATGAGAGGCCTTGCAACTATTGTCCATTTCAGGCTTTAAAACCTTACCACGGTCATGACAGGCTTTAACATTGGCATGGTCATGACAGGCTTTGCAATCATTATGACGGTCATATCAGGCTTTAACATTACCACGGTCATGAAAGGCCTTGCAATATAAAACAGCGTTGTCACGGTTATACCAGGCTTACACGATAACACTACCACGGTCATGGCAGGATCCTTGCGCTACTTAAAAACACTGAATAACAAGGTGACGGTTACGGCAGGCGTAAGTCTTGCAAAAGATAGCATGTGGATAATTTGCTTATAACACTTGCTGTAAGGATTTAAGCCTAGGACTCACTGCACAGTGTTGACTGACCATTCCTTGAAGGTGTTGCTTTCAAAAATTTGCACGAGATGTGGAGCATCGAGTGTTAATTTTAGGAAACAACGCCTGAAAGGAATGGTCATTACACAATTCATTGAGTCTTGGGCTTTAATTCTTTTCACCCATTAGATATGAAATCACTAGAAGATCAATTTCAATCTGAGGAGTCCAGTTATCACATTGACAACTGTTTTAATAGTGACTTTGAGTTGGTTATTGGTTATATCAAGGGAAAAATCAATACCCGGTGATTTCAGCGGGAAGTGGCGTTTCGTTCAGTGGATGAGCTGCGCGGGCACACATAAATGTGATTATCCAATATTATTACTACAGCCTAATAAGCGCAGTGGCCTGCAGAGGGCACTATCACAAACATGTACTGCACGAACCGATTAATTCCCGGGTATTGTAACGCCCCTCGTTATATCATGGGCTTTCAATCCTAGTTGAAAGCCCATGGTTATATGGAATGCAGTTATGTGAAATAGCATCTTTGGATTGGCTGGAATCAGACACACCTTGCCTAGCTATGTGAATCTGGCAAAATGGCATAGATCATAATGGTAGTAGTGCATAAAATACTCACATAGATTTTCTTATTTGCAATGAAAGATGTACCAACAAATACAAAAACAGAAAAATGTAATCATCCGCTTTGGGTTGAACCTGAGCTGACTGCACTCTAAGCGAGCATTTTGCCAGCACTAACCATATTTATATTCAGTGCCTTGATGTGGGTGGTGATAGAAAGTGAACAACACAGTTGTTATATGGTCGGTGGCATTTGGGATGTATTAAAGGACCACAGAAGGTATTGCTGCAAATTTTAGACAGTCATATGTTGGATTGTGGCTATTTTCTGAAGATTTAAAAAGGTGCATATGTTAGGCCCATGTATTATCCATAAAAGTACTCATAGAGATGATCAAATAATTTGGACTATTTGATCATCTCTATGAGTACTTTTCCTTTAGATAATGCAACAATCCAACATATGACTGTCTAAAATCTGTTGCAATACCTTCCGTGATCTTTTCTTAGGTGGTTGATAATTTCGAAAAAGACGCTATAGTGCATTAGCACATTTTATTAAATGAAATACCGTATTCTCTCTAATCAGTGCTCAGTCCTGATGAGCGCACATGCGACTTTTAAGTTGAATATGGTCTCAAGAAAACATTATGTTTAATGCATTTAGTTTTGATTATTTACACAAGATATGGATTGATGATATATTTAATGCAGAGAAAGAAAGACAAAATCTGTAGAGTATGTAAACTTCAGTCACAACAACTAAAAACATTTGTGGCAATATTTTTATTCTAACTTTTTCATATTATTGGAATCTCTCAATATCTTACTGTTTTAATTTCAATTTCGAAGGCGCACTGTGCACTCTAAATGGCCTACATAAGGGGCATATTTCTCAATGCTGTACATGCACATGTATTCTTGATTTCTGATTTTGTAGTTATGATGTACTGAATAAGTCCAAAGATATAATCAATGGAGCCAAGGGATCCTTCCCAACATGTGTCCACCAGAAGGGATGAATGCCAGAAAGATGATAACGATGACCCTGCTGATTATGATCATAGAAGAGAAGATGAGATTGTTGAAAATAATGATCTTATTGGAACTGAACATTCGGTTGAGCAGAGTAGTATCAATGACAACATGTTAAGTGAGCACAAAGAATTTGAACACATTGATCTGCCATATTGTAATGATCAACCACCAAAAGCTCACTTGAATGATTCCATTGCTGCACAGAAACATAAGGACAATGTTGTCACAGCAAAACACTCAACTCATCATAACCCTAAAAGTGCTTATTATGAACAAGGTCATGATGGACTAAAAAAGAAAGGGGTGTGTCATGACCAGGATGTTTATCTTGAGGAACATGATAAAAGGAGAGAGGTTGAAAAGATTGATCCAGCCATTGCAATAAAAGATGCCCTTAAAGAAGCATGTCTGGATCATATACCACACAAAAGGCTGCTGGAGATAGAAGGTAAATCACCATTGGACCTTGAGTCTCATATATAATATTTTGTACTTCTTGAAATATTTACAGTGAAACCTGTTAAGTGGAACACCTCTGTTAATGGTTAGTGGAACACTTTTCTTAGTCCAAAGACCTAATGACTTAATGTTAAATGAACTTCTTATAAGTTGAACACCTCCCAAGTGGAACACTTTAGAGGTACCAAAGGTGTTCCACTTTGACAGGTTTAACTGTATTAGCATTTACATTTATATGTGTTGAAGGCAGAAGTTAACTGTCACGTAAAGTATTCAACTGTGTATATAGTAACTACTGTCAGGGCTCTCACCAGGAAATATTTAGGGTGTGGTGATAACATCTTCAGAATAACCGTTCAATTGTGATAAATCATATTTATGTTATGTTCTATCCTTTTTACATGGTATTATTGTATATTCAGTCATGATTTGTCAATAGGGTGTTGAGGGAGCTAAATAGAGTGTGGTGCTGCGCCGAAGTCTAAAAGCCTGGCGAGAGCCCTGACTGTATACACTCATTAAACCAGACCATGCATGTAATCACCATCATTGAATGATATGACATTTTTTATTTTTTATTTCTCCAGGTTTCATTACCATTCGTTCAGATGAGGGTCAAGAGGTTAGACTTCATCTCAATGAAACCATCAGGAATTCTACGAAACTATCAGATGACACCAAAAGGATAAAATCCAGAGTATCTGACCCATTTCCTATCCTCCACCCTGAATCTCACAGTGCAGAAAGAGCATCTCAGGATATCTCTATTTATAAAAGAAGAATGTATGACTTTGGGGCTAGAAGTCGTTCCAATAGTCCATATAATAGAACAGAAGCTCACACACAAGTGACAAAGCAGAAACATAAACATAGATCTTTTGAGTATAATAATGAAAGAACACAGATTAATGATGTGAATGAGAGTGACTATGTGAGAGACTCCCCACAAGATGACACAAGTGTTATAAGGGAGGCTTATATCAATGAACATACCCAGAATAATTCTCATATCTCTGTTGGTAACGATGGCACTGAAAATGATGAATCAAATATTGAAAATGTATCCCATCTCAGCAATGAAAGCGAGAGGAATTCAAGACTGGACAGAATTGCTCATCAGTTGTGGAAAAGAAATATGGAAGGAGCAGACGGCAGTTTTCATGATGACCAAGATGATGCTGCCCCACCTGGTGAGCAAATTGAAAACTCTGATCCCAATATTGATATTATTAAACTTCAACAGTTAGCCGAGAAAGCAGTTTCTGAGGGACTCAAAACTTTTCACCAGGAGATGATTCAAAGATCTAATCCCCCATTAACCAATGAGAGTGATAGTATGTATAATACTGACAAATTACATAACAGTACTCATCCGTCAACCAATAGGAGTCTACATAACTATAACCAAACAAACAGTAGTTCTAATTTGATGACCTCCAATAACTTTGTACGTAAAGAACAAATAGGTAGCCATGATCCTCAAACATATCGTACTAACGAAGATGACAAAACTGGTAAAAATAAAGCCAGGAGGACTTGTGAAATATGTGGTAGGTCTTTCTCCTTTCAAACCAACTTAACGAGGCATATGAAAAATGTCCACAAGAAACCAAGTTACAGAATGGACCTGAGTGACCCTTTGGAGACGAGTGTTGTAAATATCTCAAGTCCTAACACAAGTGGCTCCCTCTTCTCAAGTGCTTCAGTGTCTTTACCCTTCTCGGACAGCAGTAACATTACAGATAACTTGTCTGGCAATATGGCACCCACTAATAAAGAATCTGATGGAAATAATAAAACAAACAGTACAGTAGAAAATACTCCAATTAAGATGGAAGTTTTGGATGATAGCTCTGATTCTTTGAGCAAGGAAAATGACCCGAGAAAGGAAAATGAAAATGATTCAAGAGGAAGAATTGAACAATCACAACCCAGGCCAACTAACGTTCAAGTTCCCCTATATCCACATCTGTTCAATACCCTGCCCCAAGATTTGTATGCAGATAGAAGGCTGTATCAGCCTTTACGGAGATCATTAAATCTTGTTCCTGGTGTCAATCAGCATGAAACTCCTCCCCCTCATCACTTCAGGTCTCAGTCAGACAGCCTCATTCAAGCATCTAGCGCTGTCAACATTCACTTCCCAAGACTTGTAACAAGTTCAGAAAATTCACCTGTTGCAGTGGAAAATTCCACCAATGCAGCATCAAATGGAAATTTCCCTGAGGAATTGTTTATACCTGAAAAACATCCAACCTTAGGTTGGGTTTGCAAAATCTGTGGGATGTCATTCAGTTTCCAAACAAATCTCACACGCCACCATAGAAACCAACACAGAAAACCACCAACACGACGCTCACGAAGTGGTGGCAACTCAAGATCCCTCGAAAGGCTGCCATTGCATGACTCCAGCCCAAACACAATTCCCTCTAGGCCTCATAGTGAATCCCGCCTCCATAGTGAGAAATCTAGCTATAGCGAACATTATACAGATCATCATGAACGTGAAAGGTATGAAGATAGATCAAAGACTAGTGATAAGAGGACAGAGGGGAATGACAAAGAGGTTCCATCTTCTCAAGGAGGTCAGAACAACACAGGTAAGGACTAAGAAGCTAGCTGGGTCAATATTCAGATGTTGTACACCTCCAAATATTACTCTTTTACACTCTTGATAAGCCTTAAACCTCCCCTTAACTCTGTTTAGCCCAAAAAATGTGACATTTTGCAAACAGTTATACCGACTGCATGCATGTATCTCTAGCGTAGCCAGGATTGCCAAGGCACTTGCCTTGTTGCTTTTACCATACTTAAATGAATATTCCTCTATCAAGGTAGTTATCAACTTTCAATTGCGCATAATCTCATATTTGAACATGACTGTATTCACGTCTTCTATAAATTTAACTGTAAACAAAGTCAACATTTCACCCGGGGTATATTCGCGAAGAATACCCCTGGTAATATGTGTACTGTGTGACGTCATAACCACGGGTCGTAGTAATGGCGGACCATAATGAATATTCGAAACATTTTGGTGAGTTTTCATGTTCGAATCGTAATTTAGACCTCAGAGCAGGGTTAATATCGTCGAATACACCCCTTAGGACTAACCCTGCGGGGTATATTTGATGATATTATCCCCGCTCTTCGGTCTATATTTCTTAAACGTAAGGGTTATGATTGTGTTCTATTATAATTGCCATCATTGAACTAAGTTCATATTTTAATGGTGTTTTACCTAATTTATGTTCATATTTCTGATGGAGTTGAAATAGCCTCAGTTTTGGATAAAATTCGCCTCTTCACTTTTTTCTTCCTGGCTATGTCACTACATTTGTATTTAGGTAATGGATAATGGATTTAGGTAGTGCACTGCATGAGCTGGTCAATCATCTTTTGTGCCACACTGGTTTTGGATAGCTAATGCCAAGTGTACATTCTTTAAAAAACAATAGAAAAATAATGCACTCCTCTTTGTTATAGCTGAGTATTCTTAAAAATAAAACACCTAAATGTGGTTTAAAGCCAAAGAATGAAGAGCATGAAATTTATATGTGAATACTTACATGACTATTATACTGTAAATGAAAATGGCAGCCATGGCTGTACGATGGAATTTGCTACACCTTGGCGTTGTTGTTATCTAGTTCTATTTATTTTGCTTTACTAAAACATCACTCTTTGACTTGTAGAGAAAGCCAACTGTTGCAAGATATGCTACAAGACATTTGGAAGTAAAGTGCTTCTCCATCAACATATAAAGACTCACAAATCAACAATCAGGTAAGTATTATTTGGCATTTACATGTTAGGATACCCAAATTTTATGAGAATGATCAGCAAACAACAAATAGTGTTCTGAGGCCATTCTAATAGCAAATAATTTTAGTTTATAAAGTGACATCAAAGGTGATGATGGCATTCATATACAGTGTACTTGAGAAATGTCTTCCTCTTTGTTTAAAGTTGGGACATTGTCAGTCCTAATTGGTCATACATCCCTAGGTGATATTATTCTATCCAGTGTTAATGATTGGGCGAAGGACCACAAAGTGGCCATCCACACCTGTCAGAAGTTTCAAGGGTGGGAGGGAGAGAAAAGAAAGGTTTCTAAACTGATCTTACCCTTACTTCAACACTGTTCCAACACTGTGTCACCCAATTGCATAATAACTCGATATACTGATTAGCTCATTCACCTTTATAGGTGTGGACATTGTCAGAAAACATTCAAATCAGCCTATGATTTGAAGATTCACAAATACCGTCTACATGCATCTTCTGGGCCAAGAATCCACAACTCTAGGAATGGGAAAACAGGAGCAGGTAAACCAGAAGCAGTGAGTAATAAGGTGAGTGGAAAGCTATGCTTTTGGTGCCTGTCATTATGTTTTAAAAGAATTCAGAGAAAAAAATAGGCTCGTACATTTACTCTGTATTATGAAATTCAGTCATGAGGTCAAAGATTTATTATTTTGATAAAACAGGTGTTATTTTATTTTCAAAACGTGACACTTTAAGAATGACTGATGTTTTTGATATGGATACTTTAAATATGTCGCTGGAAGTGGAGTATGTATGGAGTATTTGTTTGTGTTATGCCATTTACTGAATTTTGTATAATATACTTGTCCGAGTTGTACAAGTACCTTATTTTTTAAATTAACAATATATGATATCTACAATTTTCGACATTATATGTCAAAAAATCAAAAATGGCCATCGTTTTTCTTGTCAAAATAGGTACCTCAAAATATCACTTTTTTAGTCTTCAATTTCAATTGTTGTGCCCATATGAGAAGAAAGTGAGGACTAATGAGAACTGTTAAGAATTAAAAAAGATGCTAAAATGATCTTCAACAATGGATTATTCAATGATCTTCATTCTTCATGCCCTTGTTCCTCTTCCCCCTACACACCTTACCCCCAATTGAGAAGTAGATAAGGGGTACAGAGATTTATCATTTAAAATCTTATATAATGAAACATTTAAATTTATTATTTCAGGCCTCATCAGGAGAATCTACCATTCCTGATCAGTTTAATTGTAAACTTTGTTCGATGGACTGCAAAACCAACAACGCACTTTTACGGCACATGAAACTTCGACATCCAGAACCGAGACATAAGTGCGAGGATTGTAATAAATCATTTGGAATACGCTATCTCCTGAAGTCACACCAAGCTAAACATCACAAGAAGCAACACACAAACGCAACTGGTCACAATTCTGGAGTATCCACAAATATTGTTGGCCAAAACTCTGTTGTATCCACATACACTGGTGGTCAAAACTATGGAGTATCCACATACACTGGTGGCCAAAACTCTGGAGTATCCACATACACTCCAGGCCAAAACTCACAAAGGAATGAAGCTGACAGTTCAAGTAAAGCTGGTATACTGGAAGTAGAGTGTCAGTTATGTAGAGTTGTGTTCAGTTCACATGCTGATCTATATTGGCACATCAAGGACCTTCATGAAGTTCAGCCATCCATTTCACACAATGAACAATCAAGCATGAGACAAAAACACAATGCACAACCAGGCATTGGACAAAAACACAATGCACAACCAGGCATGGGACAAAAACACAATGCACAACCAGGCATGGGACAAAAACACAATGCACAACCAGGCATGGGACAAAAACACAATGCACAACCCAATCCAAGAATAATCCAATCGCAGAGTGTTTATTCAAATCCAAGCCAACCACAAAATTTTGAACCATTAAATGGGCAATCTTGTCATGTGCAATCAACCATGGGACAACCATTGAATATACAAACACAAGATCAAGTCACATTCCAAGAGAAATCTCATATGCCACAGATATCCAAGGGTCAGACACATAACGTGCAAACTATTAATATGATATTACATGAGGGTCATTTACATGAACACAACAAACAACTTCATACAAAACAAAGAAACAATCATGAAGAACAACCACTCATTAATGAACAAACCCAATCAATGCAACCACAATCAACACAAGCACAATCACACTCAACACAACACATATTAGGACAAACAGAATCACAACCATCTCATTACATATCACAACAAGAAACTAAAGACACAGAATCCAAAAATGATACACCTATAAAATTCACCAAAAATGTTGACAGGTCGGGACATTTTAGTATCGAGTCCCCTTTACTGGGAGAGTTCACTTCACCAATTAGTTCAAGCACCCCTGATCCTAGTAAATTCGTGCCAGTAAAATATAGGCATTTGAACACTGCACGTGGGGTGTATAATGTTCACCTCTCTAAGGGGTCTGAAAACCTTGGCCTTGACACCCCAAAGGGAACCAAGCATTTGCCTGTATCCCAACACAAGTTCGTCAATGAAAAAGATTCGTGAAAACATAAAACTAAAATATAAACTTTATTTTGAGATCCAATATTGCACTATTCTAAGATGTTTTTAATGCATTTAAAATGCAATACTACTATATAATGAACTTATGTCATGTAATTGTATGATTGTACATTCGTTTATGAACAGTATTGTACTATTCTAAGATGTTTTAATGCATTTAAAATGCAATCCTAGTATATAATGAACTTATGTCTTGGTCATGTACTTGTATGATTGTGCATTCGTTTATTAGCAATATTGTACTATTCTAAGATGTTTTCTATGCATTTAAAATGCGATACTAGATATAGTATATAATGAACTCATGTCTTGGTTGTATACTTGTATGATTGTGCATTCGTTTATTAGCAATATTGTACTATTCTAAGATGTTTTCAATGCATTTAAAATGCAATCCTAGTATATAATGAACTTATGTCTTGGTCGTGTTCATTGTTCAAGATATTGAATAAAGAAATGAAATTAATTATATATGTACTTATACCATGATTCAGTATATTTTGTAATACATTTTTAATGCACTGGTGAATCAACGAATTAATGGCTTCCTGTAATAAAAAATAAAAAAAACCTGTAGACATATTCTAAAACCTTGTAACACATTGAAAATGCACTTTTATGAGCCTTCTGGCATTTTTGAAATCATTATGGAAGAGAATGGAACATTACTTATAGATCAGTTTGAACTCTAAAATACATTGTTTTATGGGACATTCATTCAAAGTTAAACAACAATATCCGTAATTGTTTAACTATGGTCCACGCAGTTTACACAAATACACTTATCTTTTATCGAGGGAGCTTTATCATGCATTGGTTTTGTTGGGGTAGCTGGGTACTTTATATTCAGTTGAGAATCTGTTTGTACCAGTGATTTCATGGTTTGGGGGAAGGACATGTACAGATCATATATGTAGATATTATCTCGATTTTTCTATTAATCTGTTCGTCAATGAGATTGTCCTTATGATTAGGGTAATTGAAAGATTTTGCATTTTTCTCGACATCTCTTGTTGTCAAAAGTTATTTGGTATTATGTCACCTCCAGATGTGGTCACATGTTGTTATAGTCTCAAACCTTATGTAGATGGTGTTCGGCAGTTGGTGTTCGGCGTCTGTAACACCGTTCAGCCGTCGGCGTATGTGATAAATGGCATGTGGTGACATTTGCATGGTTATACTAGCTGGCATCAGTGTATAATGAACCAATAATGATGACATAGACAAAATAATAACGCATCAGTTATAATGAACCAAATATCATATCAAGATTGGGCACGTTTTGTTCGTCCCTTGTGATCATTGTTTCTTGTTGGTTCTTCAGATAAACTTATAAATAGATTTCTTTCCATTAATTCTGGTTTTGAATTAATGCTTGAGGTTGTGTGTTACACAATGAGACATGTTCGTTTGTATTCTGTGTGTATGGCGACACATTGGACTAACTGGTGAATGCACTTTCTCAAAGAAATGTTATCATTTCGAATAAGACTTAACCTTTTAAAATTTGGTAACTTAAGAACCTAAAGCTGAATTTAGAAAACTCAGTTGACATTGAAATTGACTGAATAAAAGGCATACGTATGGTTAATAGGTTATGTAACATATGGATGGTTAAACTGAAGCTTAAATAATTTATATTTTTCAAATAAAAGACCACTTAGTTGGAACAGATAGTTATATAGTCCGTCCTTCAGATAATAGAATGAGTATAGTAGTGCTATATATTGGTACTGTACATGTATTTTTTGTATTCTTTCTACACGAGGACTCTTCATGAAGGATGAAGTGAGTAAACTTTGCTTAAGGACTTTGGGTAATCCTTTACTCCCAAGCAACAAATGAATAGAAAGCAAATAAAGTTAATCCAAATAGTAGGTTAAAACAGTTTGGAACAGTGGCTAGTGCCCATATCTGCCCCTTTAGGATCAAATATATAGGAGCAATTAATGTGAGAATAAAATTAATCAAGGAAATGTAAATGTGTAGCAGACTGTAAATAACGGTTATATTATATTAATATATACTCATATGTATTTCTTAAAAAAGAACGACATGTTCGCGCTGGTGGCGATAGCGATATTACTAATAACATTGCAAACAGTCGATGGGTACAGCGATACACGGACTTATTATGTGGTGTCACAGATCCAAGCTCGCCTGGCAAAGACAACAATTGAAAGTGAGATAAAGAACACTGGTGAGCAGGAAAACGAGATACGTTTTACTGTACAAATTCCAGAAGAAGCTATCATCACCAACTACACTATTCTGAACGGCGGGACTTTAACTGTTCCCAGCGTCCTGTCCAGAGCAGCTGCAGAGGCTTTGTACAACAGCTCGGCTTCAAGCGTTCAAGCGACAACATCTGTAAGCCAAACAGCAGAAACGGGGAACCAGCTTTTCTCACTCGCTGTAGTTGTCGCAAACGAAAGTTCAGCCACATTTACCTTGTCTTACCAGCAACAGTTAAGATACACTGATAGGAGCTACAGTGTTGACTACAGCATTCGACCTGACGATCCAGTTGAAGATCTAACCATTGATGTTTATGTGTACGAACCAGAGGGGATCACAAGCATCAATGCAACAGCGCCAGCGTTGAAGTATTCTACCAATAATAGGCTAACCACCACAACCATCGAGTGCGAAAACGTAACACATCTCCATTACAACTCAAGTGGTTCAAATCAAGGAAATAACGGGTATGAAGGAGACTTTGGAGTATCATATGAAATCAACCATGAAAAGGCCCCGGGAGGTGTGATTTTTGCACAAGATGGCTACTTCGTTCATCTATACTCGAGTATACAAAACCTTGGAGCTATAAACAAAAATGTCCTCTTTATCCTTGACATCAGCGCATCCATGGCCTCTTCATACAACGGCGTGAGTAGAATGCAAAACGCCCGTGAAGCGATGATTGCCATTTTAGACGTGCTTCGGGAAGGCGATAACTTTGACATCATTTTGTTTGACCACTTGATTGAGCATTGGCAGGGCCAGTTGGTACAAGTGAACACCAGCAACATTCAAGCGGGCAAAGATTACATTAATACAACCGCACATGCCCGGGGAAATACAAACATTAACGATGCACTTATCACAGGCATTGATATTATGAACGCTATCAACGGAACGGAGGCCGATAAGGTTCCAATCATTGTATTCATAACTGACGGCAATCCATCATCTGGAGAAAAAAATAAAGATACCATAAGAAGCAATGTGCGCACAAAAGCTGCTGGTGGTCTTTCTATTTACTCGATTGCGATTGGTTCAGGAATTGACAGCGAATTCTTGGATGCCTTATCCTTAGAGAACAAGGGAACTGCCCTGGTGATATCAAGTGGCGCTGACATAAGTTCTCAACTTCAGAGCTTCTTCGACACTATCAATTCCCCACTCTTGTCTAACATCCAGTTCAACTATACTCTCGATGTGAATGAAACTACAAATAAAGCTTTCGCGATTCAGTTTGAAGACACGGAAATGGTGGTTGCAGGTAAATACACCAATGAACCGATCTCCGCAAGCGTGAATGGATTTGATGGATCCAGTACAATAGAACGCGCAGCAATTGAAATCACAAGTAATTCAACAGCTAATTGTGCTGACCTACCAGCTACCGTTACATTCCCGATCTCGAATCTGCCCGAGACACTCTGGTCTCAGATGGAAGTCCTTCAGTTGCTAAATGAGGCGCTGATAGAAACAAACGCGACACAGAAAGCAATCTTAGAGGAAAGAGCGTTGACTGTTGCTCTGAAGTATAACATGGTGACAGCCGTAACATCAGCCATCGTGACTGATAATCCGGGGATGCCTAACTACGAGTTTGATGGTGGAACTATCCGAACAACAGTCGCCCCCACGTCTCAGGCAACCAACGGAGGTGACACAAACGAAACTGTGGCGGGGATAACAACAACTTTTCCAAACTGGGGAATTCGAAATTCAGCGTCATCAATTTCAACAGAAAAGTTACTTTTTATAGTTTCACTGTTCTTGATGAGAGTCTACATTTTGTTGTTGTAAAAATTGATTGAAATCATGCTTGAAAAAGTCAGAAACATGTTGACACATCGCCATGACATTGTTGGATATTGAAATATATATAATATATATATAATCGCAAAGCCTAAAATAAAGCCACGGGCGCCAATGACCGTTCCCAAACATGTCAATAAGGACTTGACATTTGGAAATATCCAGCACGGCTACGTGTGTGTTGGGATGACGTCACCATGACATGCAGTCTAGTATGATAAGGGGTTGTTCATGGACATCAACTGTACTTTTATCGTGTACAAATACACAAACACAGTGTGCAACCGTACCTCTATCATCACACCGGAATAGCCTGACTACGGCAAAGTCAGATACTGCTGTCACAAATGGCGGACATAACCGTCGCTTCAACTGTTTAATCACTTGGTCCTTATTTCATGGGATTTTATCGTCGCTAATTCTGTGTATGCATTAAGTTCTTGTGATAATGTATCATGTGAAATCCCATTTTCGATCAAATTGGGTCGTGAATCGCTACAATATAGCGTCTTCGATATCGTCAATGACAACGGAATCTGAATTTGAGTAATTTAGAAAGACAACGGCATATGGTAATTACAGTGTCCGTTGTCCCCTATCTCATTTTGATCGGTTATATTAACGATTTTATTTCGATGGTAAAACATTATTAACTGTACAATGAGTATTTAAGACACTTGGATTGATCGTTGTTCCAAAGGAATTTAGTCTTTTTAGTCGCTCTATTAAACCTACAGTTCATGAAAATCTCATTGAAGCGACGGTTATTCCCGCAATTTGTGGCAACGGCATCTAACTTTACCGTTATCAGGCTATTCCGGGGTGATCATGAGATACTCAAGATTATAAAACACGGTGTAAACCTACACAATGTACCATTATTACATTAATTTGGCATGCCATCGTCATGTTTATAGTACAATGTGTTAATTGGAAAATCATTATCACTTTACTTCATAAATGGATAGTTTCTTGTAAGAACATCCGGTTTTCGACAAATCGTTATAAGCTTATTACATGAAATTCTAGGGTCTTATGGAATGGGATAATCTTAAGTGTTGGTGCATTGGGTTGATTTTTACTGGCCATGGGATTGAGTTGACTTGGGGATGAGTTTTACTGGGTTGAGGAGTTGATCACTTACTGTTGAGTTGAGTTGGGGTTGAGATAATGACATGTCACCGTATACACCACGGAGCGTTGTACGAAAATGGTATACCTTACTTTCTCCACATTATTTGTATATCACTGTCATGCATTCATGTTATGGGCCAATTTACGATAATTGATATTTCAAAAAAGACAAAATTCGAAAATTAAAATATTCATATAACGATGGATTTTTCTTTAATTGTAGAGGAAACACATTATATCTTATAAATTCGTAAGCGGTATCATTGGAACTACACTGTAGGTACAACACGAGGGTGATGACATTTGACCAAACTGATGTTTTCATCATTTCAGACAGATCTGGTCTAGATATTTTTTATATGTAAATGTCTGTAACAACATCCTAGACAGTGAACTTGACCGTGAATGTTTTAGTTCAAACTACACAAACTATCAATGTAGTATATGGTATAATGCTCGGTTACGGTAAGGTACAACACATAGAATGAGGTGATTTTGACATCCTGAAATATTGTAATTGTATTATCAAACGTTCGTTTCTACAACGTTTTTGTGAAGCAATGAAATTCCATTTTCTATTTATAAAATAAAAACCTAAAACTGTACGAGCAAAATAAAATGTGTCTAAGCTAGACGATAGAGTCTTAGTTTTCTAAAGTCTTAGTTTTCGTAAAGAAATCGATGCGCATTCCACCAGATCTAGAATTATCTTTTTAGATTTTTTTTAGAATTGGTTCCACTATTCTGGTCATTTTAGTTAGTAGGTGAAATATGTTACAGAGCAAACCTAGAATCTAACTAATATAGGGAAGAATAGGGTTTTTTAAACAGGAGACTAAGTTTGGTTTTCGTACGATTGTACGTCTAATCTAAAAGAGCTTTTTCGAAATGATCATCATGATTTTAAGTTACTGGGGTAATTTCTTTTTCCAAATAACACGCACGCACATTTTGGTCTTAAGTCTTTCTTTATATTACTCAAGCCCTTAGCCAGGCTGTGTGTGTGTGGGGGGATGGGGGCTCGTGCGATCTTGAACTATATTCTTTCTACTTGACCTTCAAGATTTGACATTCGGTGACCTTTTCAAGGTCAAAAAGATCTTTTTAACTTGCTTCAAAGGAGAAGTTAGCGCAACAGATTCTGGACAGTCATATGTTGGATTTTGGCCATTTACTGAGGATTTAAGCGATTGCGTATGTTAGGCCAATGCATTACCTACATATACAGGAAAGTCACTTCTAGAGATGATAAAATAATTTCGACTTTCAGACAGGGAAGATGCAAACAACCCACCCACATGTTTTTCTGAAATATTTTCCTAATTTTCGACCCCTTCCATCGCTGCTTTTTTAATTTTTCTTGCATCAATATGTTACGTTTTGACACATAGTTATCCACTTTAAAGGAATAAGTGATTCCTTCAGGGGTTTTAAAGATACCCATTATGGGTGACCAAACTTAGCTGAAAGCAATGATTTTTCCCTATGGGATAATAACATGGGAAATAAATATTGTTTTCCACTTTATCTAAAAGGAATCATTTATTCCTTTTAAGGGATTAACTGTGTGTCAAAACGCAGCATATTGATGAAAGAAAAATTAAAAAAGCAGGGATGGAAGGGGTTGAAAATCAGGAAAACATTTCAGAAAAAACATGTGGGTGGGTTGTTTGCATCTACCCTGTCTCAAAGTCGAAATTATTTTATCATCTCTAGAAATGATTTTCCTGGAGGTAATGCATTCGCCTAACATATGCACCTGTTTAATTCTCAAGGAAATGGCCAAAATCAAACATATGACTGTCCAAAATCTATTGCGCTTATTTCCCTCCTCCTTTTCCAATTCTTTTTTCCAAATCATCTACAAGTTCTCAGAAGTTCAAATCTGATTTTATATTTGAGATTTCACCTTCAATGGGCTTGTCAGGGTAAAAAAGGTCTTTTTTCAACTTGCTTCAAATTGACTACTTTTTATTTTTAAAATCATCTACAGGTTCTCGGAAATTCAAATCTGACTTAAGATTGGTGGTGACAACTTGTCATGTTAATGCCTTGTTTTCGTCTCCCACCCTCTGAATTTTCAGGATCGCCCAAGGTATTTCTTTAGCATGGAAAAGGTTAATGTGTGGGCAGGGGGATGGGTTCGCCCCCCCCCCTTTACTAAAAGCTGGCTACGGGCATGTTGCTCATATTGCATGTGAAGTATTAAAGATTGCATTGGATGCAATCATTTTCATTGGAATCGATATAAAAGTATTCTGGAATGACTAAGATTTGCAAGCAACATTTATCATTTCATATATGAATGACTTATTCTTTGCTGTAATTTAAATATAATCATAAAAATATGAATACAACTAAATTTTGATTGTACGTTTATATTTCACATGATTTTGAAGTCATTTTGTACCCTCCAACACATGCTAAATAAAGTTTTACAAAGACAATTCAAATTATTCAAAAATCAGATAATGATGATCTTAACACTTTTACTAAGTAATTTCATTGCTCAAAATAATAATTTAAAAATATTTTTTCACAAACATGATATTTTAATGTTTGGAGGATACAAAATATTGGACAGCCTCATCTAGACAACTTGAATTCACGACAGAAATACCTACACTCAATCATATATCTCCATTGTCTGCAATCGAAGATAATTCAAGATATGTCATCAAAATGTACCTTGTGGCAAAGCTTTCACCAAAATAATGCATCAATTGTGTATATTAATATGGCCGATGTGTTGGAGGATACAAATATTTGACAAATCGTATACATATAGTAAAACATACTTAATTATGTGACATAACAAACATAACAAGACATAACAAATATCCCGCTTTCAGGAGTTGGTAGAACATACATTTTATTAACATGCTCAAAAATATCATATATTTTTGATATTTTTTAAAAAGATAAGCAATATTCCAAACAGGTACCCTGTGGTAATGATTGCTTTAAGACTGGTCAACAGAAAATAACGCATTGCATGTCCATGAAATCAACATACATGTCGCAGTCTCTAGTACAAAAACAGATTTTTAAAATATCAATTATCGTAAATTGTCCCTTATACAACTATGAGTCACTTTATAAGTAGTATATTTGATAACATTATTTTTTAACAATTGTACTTTTGATAATTTTACAGGGTGTTTCAAAAAAGTATATAAACCCTTGCAACAAGCTATATCTCGATTTACTACCTGCATTAATGGGCTTATATTATCACATGGAATTCGAAGGTCAAAAGTTTTTGTAGGTACATGTACTATAACAGTGTATAAAGAAGTTACGTGGCATCAACAGACATGCCTGATAACATATGATGGCTAAATCAATGCTGGTGAACTGCTGCAACGCAAATGTTAAATGTATGTTACTGGTTGGAGTAAAGTATTGCTTAATAATTAATGTATGTGCATACCAACTTAAGTTTTATTTGAAATAAATTCACAACTTTTCGAACAAAAAGTCCTTCAAAATCATATTTTTGAAATTAAATTGAAAAGTTTCACATACCACAATTTGAAAACATTAATTGACAAGACAGCAATTAAACCCGAAGTGGTTTAAACTTCATATGGGAACTTTAAAGAACTGGTCGGTCCACTTAAAACTAACAGGAGTTAGTCTCACCCAAAATGGTGGACAAAATTCTTTAGATTAGCCTTCGATTTTAAAGTAAAATCTCCAAATATTTCGCCATGCAAACTTATAAGTTCTAATTGTCGACAATTCAAAAGAAATGCACCTCATTTACGAAATCGGAGAAAAAGAAAATGTTCTCGCTAAGGATGACACAAACTCAAATTGCATTTTTGGCAGTGATATAACAAACTCAAGCGATGGATGAAACTAACAGCATGAGAAGGAATCTGACATTGTAATTCTCATCAATGGTAAAATCACCATCCAAAAACATAAATTAAAATCCTTTCCCTTGTTTCAAATGATCCATTTGTTTCGAGGTCAATTTTCCAAATATTAAAGGTTCTTATTTATCTTATTTTTTATTCTCTATGAATCAGACATGTTAAACATACCCACGGCAATAACGCAATACGATAAAAGAACTATGGTTATGCTCAATAATGAAAAAGAATATCCCGCTGGGTATTCTCAGCTGCTGCATTAATAGCAGGCTAATATACCGGATCCCCTTTCATTACATAACTCGGTCGCATCAGTGTAATAGTTGCAGGTGTCTCATTGCAGATCTAGAAAGTAGTCACGACTTTTTCTGCAACTACCCTGGATTCTACCTAATTGGTCATTCAACAGAACGTACGTACTGCGTAATAAACAATATTTTTTCTCATTGTCAGACAGATATATATCAGGTAACCCCGGCGCAATTCACTCGAAGATAAAATCTAAACCTGTCATAGAAGACAATTATTGGGATTCGCGGTATTCAGATTTCTGGATTAATAAAAATAGTTTAGACCTTTCGAAGCAGATAACGTAGTTAGGCGTATCGTGTTATTGCTGTCTCCCAGAACTGAAAACTGAGACCCCGAAGGAGACACAAATGTCACACGCCAGTATAATAGCTGTGAGGGGGAAATGACGGGGATGTTGGATAGACTGACTCTGACGCATTTAGCTACGTTACGAATTTAAAAATAACGTCTTTAGCATGTTTTTGCTGTCTGACAAACATTGATCGAGAAAGGATAGAAATTGCCGTGAAACAAACAAAAGTTATGCCAGGACATGGGGAGCGATGTCAAATGATATCGTGTAATTTTACGGAGCTTGAACACCTCGGTCACTTCTACGACACGCCGTCCATAATATTACAGGCCGTAGCTCTAACATTGATCATATTGTCGGCCTTCATGGCCAACGGTCTCATGTGTTTGGTGTTTTACAAGCGACCACATTTACTAAATGTCGCACATATATTTGTGCTAAATCTGGCCATTTGTAACTTAGGTAAGTTTGTCATTTTTCTCTGGTTAAATCACACACTACTTCAATGTACCTGTTTTGTTCGGGTTTTTACTTTTTAACATGAAGTCCTTTTTATGTTAATGTCACTTGAAGAAGAAATCAAAGACTTTCTAGTAAATTCAGTCAAAATTCACAAATAACCCAAACCATGGCATTTTGCATATGAAAGTGAAACGTCCGGGGCGAAACGTTCAGGGGCCCCCTGGGGGATGAAATGTCTAGGGTTGAATGTCTAAGAGGTAAAATATCCAGGGGGTGAAACGTTCGGGAGCCCCCTGAGGGATGAAATCTCTAGGGTTGAAATGTCTAATTATATAAGAGGTAAAGTATCCAGGGGGTGAAACGTCCGGGGGTGAAACGATCGGGAGCCCCCTGAGGGATGAAATATCTAGGGTTGAAATATCTAAGAGGTAAAATGTACAGGGGGTGAAACCTCTAAGGGGTGAAACTTCTAGGGGTAAGATGTCCAGGGGATGAAATATCTAGGGGGTGAAACGTCTAGGGGATGAAATGTCAAAGGGATGAACAGTCTAGGGGCAAGGGGTGAAACGTCTTGATACCTCGACGCTTAATTCTTTTATTCATTTTGACCTTTGAATTGAACTACAGATATGAAACAAATCTAACAATAAAATCGAGACTGTATAGCGCGAGACTTACTTTCATAAATGTCTCTCGATATCGCAGGTCATTTGCTTCTAATTCTGACTATATTCAAACAATGCAAAGTGTCGAGAAGGGTAGCCATCTTCGTTCACTCGACTCCCGTCGGTCGTAGTGAAGACCGAGCGTGCGAAGAATAGCTGAGAATCGCAGCCTTTATACGTTGGCCGAGATTTCTTCTATATTCTAGTCCTTTATTACCATGATAATGTTGAAGCATATTTCGAGATGATAAATCATTACCGAAGTAATTCTGAAAACCTTTTGTCATTTGCTTTTTGAACAACAGATAACATTTGCTTTGCTTGCAAAATCAACTAGGCCTATGTATTAGACAACAATACTGTAAGATGGACAATAATAATATATAATATTCAATTTAAAATTAGTGCACTACCACAAAGAGGATTGGCTCCTAGGGTTCCATCTCGATATTCTGCCATATATAGAGTCATGTTGTAATTACAAAATTCGAAATCAAACAGGCGCCATTTTTTCAGTCGCTTTCAGTCGCTAGTAGTTTCCTAACAAAAATTTCAAAACACACATGAAGTGATCAAAATGTTAGTTCAAATCTTTTGGATAGCCGATTATGAATTTATATAGTGATTCAGTCATAGGCCTAATGTCAGAAAATCTGGGACATTTTTTAAAGCCCCACCTAAACTATTAAATCAATTATCTTAATCAAATACTTTCAGATATATGCTTACAAGTATTTTCAGCCTTGCTTCTAGTAAAAATGGGAAAGGGCACAGAAGATAAACTCCTGTTAAGGCAATACAAAAATAGTACACTTTGTCCAGCCCATTATTTATAGTTTACTAGAAAAAATTATTAGAAAATAAATACCGACATTTTCAATGATGTCGTCGAGCCTTTTTGTCTCACCCTGTAAAATATTACGAACTTAAAATATAAACCAAAAGTCTTAAAATGGTACATAACTTGTATTGGAATAGTATCTTGTACTAATAAGGATTAAGAATAGAATGTGATATCTTCTTTGAGCCTATGGGATGTCGAAGCATTCTCTTCAAATCGTCACAAAAATAGTTCACAAAAGCCATTCTATAGAAATCTAAAATTGAGATAGAGAAGGATGTAATTTATGGTAAACATTTTTTCTTATTAAGGTTAATGTGTCTCTCTCAATGCTTCTTTCTATGTTATTGAGTAGTTAATTGCCATTTGTCTTCCGGTAAGTGGTATTTGCGGCGAAAACTATGATTATCTTTACGCCCAATGTATCTGGTTTACTCTGTCTCAAATGTACAATTTCTTGTTATTGCTATCGAAAAAAGGATAAAGGCAGAGTCAGAGAGATAAAGGGAGGAGAGTAAAATATTGCAAGGAACACATACTACATGTAGTACAATTGACCTCCCGATGTATCAAATATATACTATGTCCCAAAAGGTTCATCATGCCTTATCAAATGGTGAAGTTTACTAAGATCCAGGGTGCAAAAATGTGCAAATTATTCCAATTATAATGTGTGGATAAAAATGAACACTTGATTGTAAAATCGTTAGATGTTACAAAGAATCATATTAGCCGAACATACGTTCTAAATGCGTTGAGGTTGTTCGCACTACTCCGAGTCAGTCTTAATAATACAATATAATACAATACAGGCCCGTAGCCAGGATTTGCCAAGGGGGGTTCAGTTTTCAAAAATTTCCAGGGGGGGGGTTCACATTTGACAATTTTGGCCCAAATATAAATATGGCTAAAATCACTTGAGAAGTGCTCAAAATGGTGAAAAACTGCATGATTTTGAAAGAATTTTTGACCAGGGGGGGGGGGGTTCGCCCAAACCCTGCGAACACCCTGGCTACGGGCCTGCAATATAATACAATATAATACAAGTATAATACAATATAATACAAGTATAATGCCAGCTCGTTTAATTAAAAGTGTCAAATTTATGTAATTACATCGGTTATCACATAGGTGACAATAGCACGTTATATAAAGCATCAAATTAATCTTATACATGTCTATGTGATTATCACAGTATTCTGGAATATTTTATGGCCGGCCTATAGGGACATGTATTATATATGAACCGTCGCCCATATGGACATATATAAGGGTTTGTGTATTGAGAATTTTAACATATTTTATCCCATCCCGAGGGAGATATGTGTATCTTCCTAGGGACTAAAGGGACCGAGGGATATACACATATTTCCCGTGGCCAATTACCTCAATATAGTGGAGGCCTGAGAGAAGGTAAGTCCCAGGAAACGAAAGCTGTCAATCCGCGCGTCCGTAGTGATTTATCAAAGGGTAACATATTCTCTTCGGGTTCTCCATCAATCATGTTGTATTTATGAAAGATTAGTATTACAGACAGCACATCGAAATTGAATGTAAACGATGTTGTCATGGATATACGAGTAATATAAAGACAGGACTACTAAATTAATCTAAGTGACGTTTAATAAATGTTATGTCAATAACCTAACGATAATACGGTCATGGTTACCATGGCATTGTAAAAGCGTAGCAACAAATTTTCAAATACGTCGAGTGGTTACTGGCATCAAAGGATGCGATGTGGACAAACATATTTCATGAACTGTTAAACACATTCCAAATGACATATAACATGATATAATACCACTTGAAGTCACTTTCCGGCTCTTATCATATTCAACGATAATTCGCGTTTATCCGATTCTAATTCAATTATTGTTTATTCCATGATCAAACAAATAGGAAAATTCTTCAACCATCCACCAAAACAATAGAACGATGTCCTTCAAAATGACGTGGCTTGCTCTTCCTAACGAAAATTTATTATTGATATTGACGAAGGGACGTCCTATTTCTTACCGTAGCGTCAAGCGACTTTAAAAACGACATACACTGTAATACATGTCAAAATCAAAGAATACATTGGAGTTTATATCGTCCTATTTTGTTTATAAGTCAAATATTGTATTAAACACCACCCTCTGTAATTCTGCATCATCTGATCATTATTTAGCGATCTCACTGTATAATCCAGGCTCAAAAACATATTCTTATTAAACCCTCGCTCCTGCACCATTAAACAGCTCTTACCCATACTTATATCTACCCCGAAGTAAAAATCACAATGGCCTTGTCTTATCTTACAAAATAGATTATATATATTTCGTTTGTATATGTGAATAACCTGAGGATGGAACCTGATGTATCTGATGTCTCATTACGCGATGCAGTCGTGCAGCACGCTCGTAACTCTGGGGTGCGTGTAATGCGTGCTGAGATTGTGAAGAATAAATTCTGCGACGACAAAGTAGGATGCAAACTTTGCGTTCCCGAGACTGATGTACATGTTTTACTATCAGAAAAATTTTGGCCCGACCCATCAATAGTCTGCAGGCGCTGGGAACGACGGGCACCTAGAGCAGCTATGCGACGAGAAAAACCGATTCCAGTTATAACTGGATACCGACGACAGGCTACCCATGCCGATGATCAGTCCGACTATGACTGTGGAATCGACAACCTAGACAGGATGAATGACGCCTACAAGCCACAGATTGATTGGTATGAATATGATAATAATGGCCTATAATAAAACAATGATAAATTCTTACACTTTCCTATTACTTGTTGTGACACTACACATTTGCACATCAGCCCCGAGCGCAGAATTTCACTCCGTGTTATCATTAACAATGTCACCTCATGAGAACAAATTACGATTTGGGCAATGGAACTGTAGAGGTCTTGGGGCCTCTAACCGCTATATATTGGACATTTTGGCGAAATGTGATTTTTTCGCACTAAGCGAACATAAACTCTATGAATGTAATCTCCACAAGTTAGATGATTTGTCAAATGATTTTGTATGTTTGGCTAAAAGCAGTAGTATTTTGGATCCTATGCAATGTGGGACTGTTTGGGGCAGTGGCGGTACCGCCATTTTTTGGCGAAGATCCTTAGACCATATGGTCGTGCCTATGCTAGAGCTGTGCTCGGATAGGATTTTATGTGTTAAATTAGTGTTCGATGATTCTGCATTATTTATATTTTCTGTGTATCTGCCACAGCAAAATTGTCATCATACCACTTTTACTGAAACTTTGGATATTTTGAATGATTTTGTTGAGCGTATATCTAATGATGGTAATGTTGTGATATTTGGCGATGTGAATGCAAATTTAGGTACTTTACAGGGATCACATGGTGTAAGGGATACACAGACGCAGAGTGGCATAGAATTGCACAATTTTTGCCTGAGTAATGAGCTATGGGCAGTTGATACAAACAGAGCTACTTTGGGTCCTGTGCATACATTTGAAATGTTGAGAAATGGT